CGAAGACAAAGGACACAAAATATATATGGCTTGCATGCATGTAAGAGAAAGGCCCATATGTATTTGGTGAAATAACCCAAAAGGTAGGTCATAATATTTATTCAGTCGTACACTGTTCATGATGAACCAGATGATCTTTCTGAGTTCATCATCCGATCCTAAGCCTATGATCATATAATATCTCACATTAATTCAAAGCCTAAAATATTGCATCAAACATATTGTGTGGTTTTTGTTTACTTCACGTATCTTATTACCATTCATACACAAAGTTATATTATTCTTTAGTGATGATCTTATTATGTGCATTAAAGAAAGGAAGATTATGAAACGTATAAGCCACTTGGCCGATATGCATGTATCTCTCTACCAATTTACGATAAAAACTTAAAAAGTTTTCTGACTAGCAATGAAAAATGATATAAAACATATTCGATTTTGTAACGTTTTTGGATTTCTATTATCTTCATTAGAAAACATGATCCTCATCTCGACCACACATCCCAATACAGCCAACCACCTCATGGTCTATACACGTGACAAACCATAATTCGATTTTAACGTTACAAGTCTCCAATTTTGTTGTTTAGTGTATCTAAAAAGAGTCAAATTGAACAAAGAACAATTTGAAACGGTTGGACAAAGATAATAAAGTTTCTTTGTTATCTTGAATCTCTCAGTTCACTGTCTTATCTTTGATGTTATCGACGATTTCTTGAGTGTAAAAAGATCATAAAATCTTTAACTGCGTTTAAAACTTGCATTTGAAATTTTAATACCACATTAGATACATTTTTTTTTTTTTTCTTATGGTCAAAATACCTATAATCAGCTCAAATAAGCCAATGCGAAAGAAAATATACATATTTGATATAAAATCATAACACCATTATAAAGTTACTTGATTGGTATAGTTCCAATATTAACCTAATATATTATTCGAAATTTAAAACTTAGAATAAATATTGTATACAAAACAAACTAAACCGTTAAAAAACTAATTCACTTTTACTTTTAAAACGAACAATAATTTGTCGTTTTATATAAAAGTGATCTATTAGACCGTGTATAATACACCATTCGAAGTCTAAAAAGTTAAATTAATATTGTATATAAAACAAACTAATTCACTTTATTTTCATAACGAACCAAAATTTGTCGTTTTAAGTTAAAGTAGTTTGTAATCGGTTTATAATAATTCTTTTTCCGATATAAACTACTATAGTATAAATTATGCTTTATTTAAATTAAAATAGAAAAAAGTTTCAATTTATAAAATTCCATTTCATCTCAACTTTTACAACCATTATAACCTTAAGGAATATATTCAATTTGATCATTTTAAGTTTTAACAATTATTGTTTATAATAATTTCTTACCAATGATGATGGACCAAGCAAGTCGTGCAAGCAAAGAGTTAAGCTGGACGGTCCAGATCCTTCTTTAACTTAATCTTCACCGTTGTTTTTTTTTTATCAAAGAAGTCAAAGAAGGGTAAAATTGTAAAATGACCAATACCAAATCGCATATCATTCACTAACAGAATTTTCTATTTTCTGTGCCTCTCAAAAAATTCATTTTCTCGGGAAAATTGAAAAAAACAAAAAATACAAAAAACCATCATGTTTAGGATTTTCTCGAGAAAGTGATAAGGAAAGAAAAAAAAAATTATGGGGAGAGCGTTCGTGTATGTAATTCTTGGTGGAGGTGTTGCTGCTGGTTACGCAGCTCTCGAATTCACGCGTAGAGGTGTCTCCGATGGCGAACTCTGTATCATTTCCGAAGAACCCGTAAGCTCTCGAAATCTCTCTCTCTCGTTCCCTCATGAAGAACAGATTTGAAATTTTTCTTGTTTTTTTTGATTGCGATGATATCATCGTCGTCGTCGTTGTTGTTGTTTTTGAGTCATGTATCGGCTCTGACTCTGATTTTGAGTTTTTTTTTTAGTAACTATCAGTAGTTTTTTTTTTGGAATTCTTTGGTGTTAGATTGAAGATTTTGAATTTCGTGGGTTTTTGGTATAATACTTTCTAATTGAAGTATCAGAAGCTCAAGAAACAAACTTGATCAAGGTTTTGTTCAAGATTTATGAAATTCTGTGCAATTTGTGCTTAGAGTTATGCTGTATATGTTAAGCTGAAATGAATCTGAGAGATGTATTATAATTGGGGTGTTTGGTAAAGTTACAGTAGTTTTAGAGTAGCTTGCAAGAATCATTACATTGTTGTTGGATAGTAATTTATGGCTTATCTATTAGTTATAAACAACTCTTGACTCATTGTTTCTGGTTTGTGATTCTTGTTTTTTCACTCATGCTTGTTTTTGTTATGAAGTGTTGGTTGTGGATCCTATGTTAGTTTTACCCTGTAGAAGATAAGCTTCTTTATTTGCTTTTTCTTTTCTTTTTTTTTGTTTCTAGGTTGCACCGTATGAGAGGCCAGCCTTAAGCAAAGGTTTTTTGTTGCCAGAAGGTAAGAGAAACCTGGTAGCTTGCGGTTTTTGCATTTGGAGTTAGGGAAAGGATTTGGCTATTGTTCACTTATTAGGCTCTGTAAGGGTTACTAATGATCTTATCTGCAGCTCCTGCACGGCTTCCTTCTTTCCACACTTGTGTTGGTGCTAATGATGAGAAGCTTACCCCGAAATGGTACAAGGATCATGGTAAATTTCATCTGCACTTTTGATTTTGAGAATGTGCTGCTTATGACTACAGGATTATTTTCTGATAATTTTTGTGAAATACTTTTTTCAGGAATTGAATTGGTCCTTGGAACTCGTGTTAAGTCAGTTGATGTGAGGAGGAAGACTCTTTTATCTAGCACTGGGGAGACTATTAGTTACAAGTTCTTGATCATTGCAACAGGTGCCCGGGTATGGATTGCACAATAAGATTTTTGTTTTTGTAAATTCTCAGCAACAGAATACTTTCCTTAAAATTTATTTATCTGTTATTCCTTATCATCATTAACATCTTAACTGAAGACAATGATTTATCTGTTATAGAAATTTTCTTTTATTTAGAACTTTGAACGCTGAACTGCTAGTTCATGGCCTTATCCTTATCATATGTGGCTTGTGCAAGTAGGCATTGAAGCTCGAAGAATTTGGGGTGGAAGGCTCAGATGCTGAAAATGTTTGTTACCTACGAGATTTGGCTGATGCAAATAGGCTTGCCACTGTGATTCAATCAAGCTCCAACGGGAATGCTGTTGTTATAGGTGGTGGCTACATCGGCATGGAATGTGCTGCATCTTTAGTGATCAATAAAATCAATGTGACGATGGTGTTTCCAGAGGCTCACTGCAGTAAGTATTCTTAATTATCAACTTACGTGTAAGATAGAAAGCTTGTGTATTTGGCTTGACCTTTTTAGTTTATTATGACAGTGGCACGTCTCTTTACTCCCAAGATTGCAACTTTGTATGAAGACTACTACAGGACTAAAGGCGTGAAATTCATAAAAGGAACGGTTTTGACATCATTTGAGTTTGACTCGAATGGAAAGGTAAGATCTTTTTCTTTAGCTTCAAATTCAACTTGAAAGATTTCTCTTACTTCGCATCTACGTATAGAACTAAAGATGGGAAGAATCAGGAGAACAATGGATAGTCTTGGTCCAATGTTGAAACACTGAACTGTTGAGCCTTATGCAGTGTGTTTGTTTATTGATATGAGCTTTTTTGGTTTTTGATTTACAGGTCACTGCGGTTAATCTAAAAGATGGGAACCAGTTACCAGCAGATTTGGTTGTGGTTGGAATCGGGATACGCCCAAACACAAGCTTGTTTGAAGGACAGTTAACAATAGAGAAAGGAGGGATAAAGGTGAACAGCAAAATGCAGTCAAGTGATAGCTCAGTGTATGCAATAGGCGATGTAGCTACATTTCCAGTGAAACTATTTGGCGAAATGAGGAGGCTTGAGCACGTGGACTCGGCTAGGAAATCTGCACGACACGCAGTTTCAAGCATCATGGATCCAGTCAAGACTGGAGAATTTGACTATTTGCCGTTCTTTTACTCAAGGGTCTTCGCCTTCTCATGGCAATTCTATGGAGACCCTACAGGTGAAGTTGTGCACTTTGGAGATTATGAAGACGGGAAATCGTTTGGAGCATATTGGGTCAAGAAGGGTCACCTCGTTGGATCTTTTCTTGAAGGAGGGACTAAAGAAGAATATGAAATCATCTCAAAGGCGACAAAACTGAAACCAGCTGTGACCATTGATTTGGAAGAACTGGAAAAAGAAGGACTCAAGTTTGCTGAGACAGTGGTGAGTCAGCAGATAGTTCCTGAAGTTAAGGATACTCCGAGCTCTGAGATGGTGAAGCAGTCTTCAAGCGTGGTGATGATGAAGAAGCCTTTGTACGTATGGCACGCAGCTACTGGAGTCGTTGTAGCTGCATCTGTAGCTGCGTTTGCGTTTTGGTATGGAAGGAGACGCCGTAGATGGTGAGAACCAACCCCTTTTCAAGTGCTTTTAAAACGAAAGGTGTTGGATTCATTGAAAATGGAACTTGCTGTTGTTTGTATTATTGGTGGGGAAAATATAGAAATGAGAGTCCAAACTACTCGATGTGATTACACATTTGGTATACCATTATTAATATGCTTCTTTTAAAATGCATAAATGTTTCCATTACAAACTTTGATACAACAAAGCCTATGAAAAGGGGTACATAATGTAAAATAAATCTTGCTATTAATAACCTCAATTAGTAAATAAACACGTATATAAATTTAATAATTGAGATTATAACAATAAGGGCGTTTGGTCTAGTGGTATGATTCTCGCTTTGGGTGCGAGAGGTCCCGAGTTCGATTCTCGGAACGCCCCTTTATTTTTTACAAACTCCTCAACTTCAAGGGTAATTTCGTCAAAACACAAACCTGTCCAACCTCATCTATGGCTATACACGAATCAGCGCATGATATCAAACGTACGCTTTAATTTAATTCCTAAATTACCCCTTATCCTTTTTTTTTTATCCCTCATATTTCATCTTCCTCCTTTAATCCAATCAAACACAACAACAACACAGAGAGCGAAAAGCAAATCCGAAGAAGCTAAAAGAGTGAGCAATGGCGTCGACGACTCTCTCAATCGCTAGCTCAATCCGTTCTTCATCATATCCCACACTCGCTTCCGCCAATCACTTCCCTGCCCGAACCACCGCAATCGAGTTCCCATCCCGCTTCGGTGGTGCTTCATCTTCCACACTCACCCACCGTGCAACTCACCTCCGTCCAATCGCCGCCGTCGAAGCTCCGGAGAAAATCGAGAAGATCGGATCCGAAATCTCATCCCTTACCCTCGAAGAAGCTCGCATTCTCGTCGACTATCTCCAAGACAAGTTTGGTGTCTCCCCACTCTCTTTAGCTCCTGCTGCGGCGGCTGTTGCAGCTCCAGCAGACGGTGGTGGTGCGGCGGTTGTAGAAGAGCAAACCGAGTTCGATGTGGTTATCAATGAGGTTCCAAGTAGTTCTCGTATCGCAGTGATTAAAGCTGTAAGGGCTTTGACTAGCTTGGCATTGAAGGAAGCTAAGGAGCTTATCGAAGGATTGCCCAAGAAGTTTAAAGAAGGTGTTACTAAAGATGAAGCTGAAGAAGCTAAGAAGACTCTTGAAGAAGCTGGTGCTAAGGTCTCCATTGCTTAAGGTTTATTTTTTTTAAAGTTCTTCTCTTTTCTGTGTTGTTACTTGCTAGTATAGTTTGCTTTTGGAATTGTTGATTCAGCTTTGAGAAAAATTGTTGTAATTTGAGTAAATTTGGTTTTTTTCATTTGCTGATTTAGCCATTTGGTTCGTTAGATTCATTAGCTGCACATAAGGTGTTTGTTGAAATGCCTAAGTGAGTTTATGAAATGAGGTAAATCACTCACATACGAAGTTATAGGTAGAAGACATCTTTAGTTGCTTAACAGTGAAACGATAGCAAAGAATTGTGATTGAACCATCATTTTCTCATTGTTGTTTAACCTATGTAATCTCGGGGTCGTTTACTACAAATGGAGCTTAAGATATAGAACTTGTATTATTAAGATATTACTGAAACAGAGAAACAAAGAGACAACCCATTCTTAAGAGACAACAAGTTGTTCCTATGAGTGCTCTTAAGGTGTTGATTGGTTCTTGCTTGCTTTCTCTAACGCAAAACCTAACTTAAGAAAAGGAAACAAATCAAATCACTTTAGAAAGTAGAATTTTTTTGACAAAAGTTTACGCATAAAGTTAGGGTTTTGTATCTTTCTATTAAAAAGATTAGGGTTTTATCTTCTTGTTTTTCTTCCTCATCTTCGTCTCTAGTGTAGGTCTAAGCAACGCACACGCACACATATAGACACACAAAACAAACAAAAAGAGTAAAAATGGCAGCGACGACTCTTTCCATTGGAACCACAATCCGGCCGTTCTTCAGGTCTTGCTGCTGCACATCACTTACCTTCTCGACCCATTGCATTACAACTTCCGTTTCGCTTTGGTGTTTCTTCTTCATCTTCAGCCTTAGACGACCAGCCACCGTGCAATCTACCTCCAACCTATATCTGCAGTCAAAGCTCCAAAGAAAATCAAGAAGATTGGATCCGAGATCTCGTCTTTAACCCTCAGAAGAAGCCAGCATCCTTGTCGACTACGTTCAAGAAAAGTACGGTGTTTCAATACTCTTTTCAGCGCCTGCTCACCCCCGCTACTCCTCCTCCCATTGACATTGGGGGAAGTGGTGGCTGCGGTGGATAAGCAGACCAAATTCGATGTGGTTATCAACGAAATTCCCCCTAGTTCGCCTATTGCAGTGATCAAAGCTATTACGGCTATGACTAGCTTGTCTTTAAAGGAATCGAAAAAGCTCATGGAAGATTTTCAGAAGAAAGTTAAAGAAGGAAGCGTGACGAAAGATGAAGCAGAAGAAGCCAAGAAACAGCTCGAAGAAGCTGGCGCTTATGTTTCCATTGTTTAACCTTTTAACAGTCTTTAAAACATCAAAGGTTTAACTACATACTTCTGTCTAAGTTGAAAGCTCCCAATAGTCTAAGTTGCTTCCAAAACTTCAGAACCTCACAATAGTTATATAACTTTCTAACGACTTTCCAAAAAGTCTCACAAGTTTCATGAAGTTTTGAAGCTTACAATAGCTTTTGAAAGCTTCCAACATACCAAAGAAGATGATACATATTCCTACAGTATATATTTTACAGTATAGACAAAATAAATACTCATTTCGTACAACAAGGGCGTTTGGTCTAGTGGTATGATTCTCGCTTTGGGTGCGAGAGGTCCCGAGTTCGATTCTCGGAACGCCCCTTTATTTTTTACAAACTTCTCCAATATAAGCAAAACGTATGCATTACTTTAAATGACCAAAGTACCCCTTATCCTTTTTATTTTTATCCTCATCTTCTACAAACACACTCACAGAGAGCGAGTCACACAAAACACAAATCCCAAAAGATTCAGAGGAAGAAGAAGAAGAAGAGATTGAAACAATGGCGTCAACGACTCTCTCAATCGCTACCACAATCCGTTCCTCATCTCCTCTCACTTCCGCTTCAACCCATCACTTCCCTTCCAAACCCACCGCAATCGAATTCCCATTTCGTCTCGGTTCTTCAACCCACCGTGCAATCAACCTCCGTCCCATCGCTGCCGTCGAAGCTCCGGAGAAAATCGAGAAGATCGGATCCGAAATCTCATCCCTTACCCTCGAAGAAGCTCGTATCCTCGTCGACTATCTCCAAGACAAGTTCGGTGTTTCCCCACTCTCTTTAGCTCCCGCTGCAGCGGCTGTAGCAGCTCCGGCCGACGGTGGTGGTGCGGCGGTTGTAGAAGAACAAACCGAGTTCGATGTTGTTATCAATGAGGTTCCGAGTAGTTCTCGTATCGCAGTGATTAAAGCTGTAAGGGCTTTGACTAGCTTGGCCTTGAAGGAAGCTAAGGAGCTTATTGAAGGGTTACCAAAGAAGTTTAAAGAAGGTGTGACTAAAGATGAAGCTGAAGAAGCTAAGAAGACTCTTGAAGAAGCTGGTGCTAAAGTCTCCATTGCTTAAGGTTTTTTTTAATAATAATCGAAATAAAAAATGTGATTTTTCGGAATTTATGAGTCCTTTTTGTGTTGTTTAGTATAGTTTGCTTTTGGAATTGTTGAGAAATTGTTGTACTTTGAATCAATTTGGTTTAAGTTCTTTCACAAAGTGCTTTGATTTGATGATGCACATAAGGTGTTTGTTGAAATGCCTAGCTCAAATTCAGAACAGAGAGAGTTGGGTAATATGGCTAAAGAGTAAAGACTCTGTTTTTATCCTAAAACGTAATTGCAAAATTTGGATCGAACAAAAACACAACAGAGGTAGACAAATTCGTTTTGAGTATAAATTTTGTGAGATGTGTGTAATGAGACAACAAGAGAGTTTAATAACGTATGATAAACGAATAATATATGATATCAGGAAAAAGTACATAAGCAAATCAAAAGCATTAATCAATCAGACAAAGTCTTAAAGTCTAAACCTTTATTCTCGTTCTTAACTTCTTATTATCTTGAGAGGTAGAAAAAAAAAACGAAACCTTTACGCCGCAAGAAACGAGGAAGAAGGTGTTTTCTAGATTCGTTGTCTTCTCCTTCTTCTTCTTCTTTAAGGTGACTTTTTTGATTTTGTTGTTTTTCTTCAAAAGGTGTAAACTTTAACGTGGTTTTCTCGTGAAGATAAAAACCTTTTTTTTACAATTGGATGTTGCGAGCAGTACTAGGTTTTATGTTTGGTTTTCTAATGATTGTTGTTGTCTGAATGTGTAGAGAATCTAGAAGAATCTTCTTGTTCGATGGGGAATATTTTAGCGGCTGGTTCTAGGGTTTCTGATAACGAAGAGCGAGCTGATTCTTCTGATGATAAATTGAAGGTAGCTGATGTTAAGATGGAGAATGTTGATGAAAACTCTGGACCAATTGAGGATTATGTGATGAGTGAGGTTTCTTCATTGAGAGAAGATGAAGAAGGAGAAGAAGAAGAAGAGAATGGGTTTCATGTGGGAGATTTTGTTTGGGGAGAGGAAGCTAATAGTCAACAATGGTGGCCAGGTCAGATTTATGATTCTTCACATGCTTCAGACTTGGCTTTGAAGACAATGCAAAAGGGTAAATTACTTGTGATTTATTTTGGAGATGGGGGCTTTGGTTGGTGCAATCCATTGCAATTGAAACCGTTTCTTGAGAATTTCAAAGAGTTTTCGAAGATGAGTGATTCAAAAGGCTTTGTTAGTGCTGTGGAAGAAGCTGTGAGAGAGATTGGTGAACATGTTGAGCAGTTTTTGGTTTGTGATGAGGCGGCTTTGGTTAGTTCTGTAGCTGTGAATTCTGGGATTAAGGACGGTGTTGTTGTGCCTGATGTTAGAAGAAAGATTGTGTCGTCTTTGGTTCTTGAAAATCTTGGTGTTGTTCTTGAAGATGTTAAACGACTTGCCAGGAAGGTTAGCTTTAGTGATTTGTTAGAGTTTGAGGTTTTGAAGAGGAAAATATCAGCGTTTTATCGGTGTAATGGTAGATTTAATTTGGCTAAGTATGATGAACAGATATATATTGTAGGACTTGAACACAAAGATGATGATTCTTGCAAGATATCATTGAGAGGGTGTTCAGGGTTTGCTAGGAAAAAGAGGAATTGTGTTGCTGAAGTTAATGGCAATGTAGCAACTACTAGTTCAACTACCCTGAGGAGGAGAAGACTGTGTGAAGTTTCGAAGATGGAAAATGCTGAGGAAGAAGTTAGCAATGGGAAGAGGAAGAGGAAGAGCAAAATGGGTTTGGATGATGATAGGATCGAGAAACGGGAAGAGTCAAACGACTCAAATCATATAGAAGAGAGTGCGAAGAAAGATGATTCAGGTATCGAAATTGATGTTGATTTAGCAACTCCATTGCTTTCAATCTGTAAAAGGCTCAGTGTTGATGTTTCTTCAAGTGTTGAAAGGAACAATGGAAATGGTGAGGCGTTAGTGCAAACAGGTAAGAGAGAGAGGAAGAAAAGCAAGTATCTTTCACCTGAATACATGACAGATTTTAGTTGCAGAGCAAGGAAGAGCAAAATAGAATCTGCTGAATCAAGTCAGATTCAAGTAGCAGAGAAAATAACACTTGATAAAGCCATTGATTTTGTGAAACTGGAAGCTACAGCAGAGGAAGTGCTGAATCTAATTCGAGGACTGGCTCTCAGTACAAAATATCCAGAAGACTATACTACCTCGTCTGACATGGTAAGAGAGTTTGTGTCAATGTATCGAAGCTTTACATATCATGATGGGGCAAATAACAAGAGAGTCATTAAAGATGAAGAGAAGCAGCCTGAAGTAGTGGATGAGAAAGAACCAAATGATACTGTTGAGAAGCAATTTTTAGGTGTTGAACTATTTATCAAGACTGCCTTTGGTTCTACTCTGCCTTCAAAAGATGATTTGATCAAAACATACAAAAAGTTTGGAGCTTTGGAAAAAAAGAGAAGCTATACATTCAACAATAACTCCTCTGCACTCATTGCTTTCTTAAATGTATCTGATGGAGAAGAAGCTTTTAACAAGTCACTAGAGAAATGCCCATTTGCTACTACCTCCACCATTACATTCAAACTCAAGTATCCATCTTCTGCTTCACCTGAAAACACTAATGAGAAGACGGAAACCGAAACTAGACAGTGCGTAACAGAAATCGAGTCTTTGAAAGAGAAGCTTGAAGATATAAGATCATTGCTGGATCAGTCAGAAGGAATGATTACAAAAGAATTGAAGATGAAACTTGAAGATGAATCAAGAAACTTGCTTGACAAGGTAAGCAAGATGATAATTCGTCCGTCTTAATTAGGATCTGTTTTTTGTAATTAGCTTTTAGGAGACAAAATGTTTCAAGGCATGAGAGACTGTTCCATATGCAAGAACAAAATGGAAAAAAAAAAAACATTCCTTTTGCCATATGGTTAATTTCTAGGCCCAATGGGCCTCTGATCTGAATCTTTATGAGATAGCTGAATAAGGTAACCCGCGGCGGTGAACGAGTCCGACGGTAACGTAGTTTATACTTTAATGGGCCTTTTATTGATTAAGCCCATTAACTATCTATAAATACCGTACAAGGTTCTTCATATTCAACATCACTTGTCTTTAACAAAAACCCTAGTTTCTTTCTTACGCATCTCTCTCCGCCGCTTCTCGTTTTTATTCTTTGTTCTCTTGCTGATTAGGTTTAGGGTTTATGGTCTCTGTGATTGTTTTTTAGTTAGTGTTTCGTAGATGGCGAGGATGATCAATGCTTAAATTTCTGACACCTCTTGTATGAGAAGAGTTTGATAGCCTCTTTTTTGAGCAAATTACGCTACACTCTGAGCCATCTACCAAAAAATTTCATCTTTTTATTTCCAAGTTGTGTTATTTTTTTGGATTTTGAATTGGGTTTTTGAGTGTGATGATTGTAAAAGTAATTCCTCGTACTGAAAGCTAATGGCTTGATAGACTCACATTACACCCATAGAATATGAGCACTCACCCTCTTCTTCAAAATCCATTATTTACTCTTTGGTTTTGTATATTGAATCTGTGTTAGTTTGGTTAGGAACTGTTAGCATTGATATGTTATACTTTTAGTAGAAAGGATTGGTTTTTATTAATCAAGATTCATGCTTTTAGCTGTGATTTGTGTGAGTTTTAGAGTAATGACCATTTGTTACATTGATACTCTTTGGTTTTGTGTATTGAATCTGTGTTTGTTTGGTTAGGAACTGTTTGCATTGATATCTTATACTTTAAGTAGAAAGGATTGGTTTTTATTAATCAATATTCATGCTTTTAGCTGAGATTTGTTTGAGTTTCATTATAGAGTAATACCCATTTGTTAGATTGATGTTGTTTTGGTGTTTCTGAATATGATTGTACTGGTTGTGGCGAGGATGATTAATGCTTAAATTTCTGACACCTCTTGTATGAGAAGAGTTTGATAGCCTCTTCTTTGAGCATATTATGCAATACTCTGAGCCTTCCATTACAATTTCCTTGCTTTTGTAGTCTACTTATGGTTTTTAGTAGACAAGTTGGATTTGAATTGGGTTGGATGCGATGATTGTAAAAGTAATTCCTCGTACTGAAAGCCGTTGGCTTGATAGACTCACATTACACCCATAGAATATGAGCATTACCCTCTTCTAAGTCTTTGTTTTTCATTGTTTTGTTTGCTAATGTCATATATCACTTATATAACTTATGTTCAAATTAGCCTGCTGTCATCAAATGTTTTCTGCTGACCAGTATGCTCTGCCTCCACCAACTCAATCTGTTGAGCTGTTGTCGTGCTTGTCTCATATATGATGGAATTGGTTGAGTTGGTCGATCATATAGAGATTGTTTAGTCCACTGGGTTGATAAGTGTTGATAAGCATTGTGGGAAGTGTGCACGTTGCTCAACTTATCAAAATGTACATCAGCAAATCAAGATTCAAGACAACTAGATTGGTGATGTCCATTCCTTAGGAAGAAGTCTTCGAAAACAATAATCATGAGAAGTTTTTCAAAAATGATTCTTTTATTACCCAACCTTGTTAAGTTTGTTACACTAGAAAATATTGGTTAACATGAGATAGTCAGAATTTAAAAAGTCTTATGTTAGACAAGCAAAACTGTTTTAAATGGTCCTGTATCAATAGTAATTATTGTTCCCCCGAATCTACTGTAGTCAACCACTGTTTTATTTGCCAATTCTTCTGCTTGGTCTTGTATAAATGATGTATTATTGCTTTTATTAAACCCATAATTTAAATGAAAGAAAAGGAATATATCAGTGATGTAGTGGACATCAGTGATGTAGTGGACATTAGGGAATATACATGCAAACATAATCAAGATTCAAGACAACTAATCGGGTATGTAGTGGACATTAGAGAAGAAAGTCTTCTGTTCGACAAGCAAAACGGTTTGGTAAGGTCCTTCTCGCAAAAGTCATACTTGTCCCCTCGAATCCTTTCTAGACTAATCGATGTTTCATTTGCCAATTCAACTGCTTCATATTCTCCTGTTATAACCTTGTCGAAGCAAACATACCTTCCAAACGAGGCCTTATTCATTTCCTCGTACACCTTCACATGTACTTTTGCAAGTGTGTTTACATCCACGGTTGCTAGTACACCATTTCCATACATCTCCTCGCCTCCTATATATATAATAATTTACATTAAGTATAACTTATAAGAAAATTTTGTATGCAATGTATTGTGAAGAAGCTCATGTTCTTTAACAACTCCATAACCTAGCTAGTTGATACACCGTACCGTAACTTCATATTATTAAACTATAAGCTTCCACCTTAAAATGAATTAGTAATTAGTGCATAAGCTTATATATATCTTTTATATACTGTCATGATTTTTCTCCAGCTTTTGATTATATCCCTAATACATATATCATTTATAAATTTGATGTATATAATTAGGTCCGACCCGAGGCTAAAGCCCGTGGAGCAAGGATTTTAGGCAGCATATGAAAAAATATATTTTAGGGCACCAATTCACAAAATATTATTGTGGTGCAGTGGTTTTATGCATTATTTTTTTCTGGTACGGAGTTCGAATCCTAAAAATAGCTTTTTTTTAGCTTTTATATTTTGGGTTGATTAAAAAAAATATATTTGCTTTAATCAGCCAAATTACTTGGGCCGGCCTGTATATAACATAAAATGAAAAAAGAAAAAAAGAACTAGTTATATATGTACCTTTAAGATAAGCAATTGTAGGGGTAGGATTGTGGTGAAGTATGTTAAGGGACGTGACAAGAGCTGCACATATTGTTGAGAGTTTGAATCCTTTATCTTCTGCTATTTTCCATGCAATTTTTTCTGCTTTGAGCTTCCCTAATGCATACCACAACTACACAAAAAATAATCCATAAAACAAATTAGTCAAAAATTAACTAATTAGTAAATATAAATCAAGAATCAAAACTACTTATGTGATTATGAGAAGAGAGAACTACTTTTTTGTCCTTGCATAGAGACTCGTCGCTCCAGCTAGAGTGATCAATCACAGAACGACGACCCAACTGTGTGCTGTTTTGCCATAGGCAAGCTAATAAGGAAGAAGTCATGAGGCATCTCCTCACTGATTGTGTCATTGTACATGCGTTCATCACGTTCTCACTAACTTTTGCTTCTATCTCGACCATATATTTCTGAAAAATACAAAACTTATTAATCGTTATATACATTACCAACTAACCCTATAACCTCATAAACTTTTCTCATGTATAAAGTGATACTACCCTTAACTATTTAATCAAAAATGGTAGTTGTTGATTTTTCCAAATTAGCAAAAATGTGAGTAAATATTTTTATGAGAGTTAGGTATATTTCAACATATATACAAGTAAATGCACCAATTTAATAGCTGTACCGTATTGGCTTGAAATATGGATACAAGGGTCATGCAACTTGAACCGTCTTTATCAACTAGGGTCGAATATATTTACGAGTGATATATTTGGAAGGTTATATTTCTATAAATAGTAATGACAAATGATTTTGAAATTAATATTTTATGTATATACAATATTTTCATTATTATTGTTAAAGTTTTGTGATGCTTAATTTCAAGATTTGCTAACAAAATTATGTGAGACGTTTAAGAAAATTAATGATATAAAGTTTTGAAATAAGAAAATTTTTTATAACTTTAGAAAACAATTTCATAGAAAACTCTAAAAATATAAAGCATACGTGGAACAATGAAACGTAAAAGATAAAGAGAGCTTAACGTACGGAGTAGCCAGAGACACCGGAGGGATCTATGAAACCGGAAGTGTGAAAAACGCCGTAACACCCATCAAATGCATCAACCAAGCTCTCTGTTTCTGTTAACTTGGCCGACACTTCTTCTATTCTTCCGTGAAACTTAGCTGTCTCATCCTTCATCGCCCTAACTCTCTCAAGGTCATCTACGTATACAAAACCATAATGAGTCTAATCATATGTATCATTCATATATACTAATGTTAGTATACATAATGAAGCCATAAGGTTTATATATTACCTGGCGTATTGACGATGACACGAACGGTGTAGCCATGGAGCAAGAGCCGTTCTACAATGGTTCGACCGAAAAATGTGAGACCGTCCGTTATACATACAATCTTTGCATTGTCTTGATCAAGATCGTAGTCGTAAATGTTTTTTTCTGACCGTTTGAACCATTTTTCATCTTCTTGTTTTCTTCCTTTAGTCGCGGTGGAGACATCAATGGACAATCTTAGCTCTTCAAACTCGGTTTCGTAGTTCTCTGTCCTAGGGAGGATTCTCATAGTTATGTCTTTTTTTGTTTGGTGCGAAAAGTTGAGTTTGTAGTAAAAGCCAGAATACCAAAATATAAAGGTGAGTACAAAGGATGAGTTTACGTCTGTCTTATTACAAGTGGCTGCTCGGCTCGGCTTTGGTATGGTCAAAATAATACACTGTAGAGAGAGCATGTGCTTGTGCTTTAGTTATAATGTGTAGAGAGCATGTTACAACTAGGGCTGAGTAAATTAATTTAATTATAACATCCGTTTTTATTTCAGTAGGTTTTGATTTGTAAACTTTTTGATTACTATTCTATAATCATTGGTTGAGCAAAAGTTATTTCTTACATCCGTTTTTATTTACTACTCGATTTGATTTATGATATGTGAGTGAGAGCGAGAGAGAGAGGTCAATGGTGGTTTGATTTGTATATATATATATATATATTTTTCTAAGATTCTTCTGTAATTAGTTTATAGATATTTTTCATGTTACTAAACTAATATTAATGATTCTTACCAAAAAAAAACTAATATTAATGATGAGGAAAAAAACAAACTAATTTTAATGATTTTTAGTTCGTTTAAAATTATTAGTGATTGGAATTTATGTCCCCAATCTGGTATAAGTGTTCCATATGGGATATTTATTTTTATAAATGTGAAAAAAATTTAATTTTTACTTTCTCGAACTCATACATCATGTCTTATCTTTTTTTCTCATACATTATAATACTCTATTTTCGTTATAAATTTCCAAATATACAATTTTTTTTTTTTAGCAAACCAACCACTTCATATAAAGGAATTAGCATTCAATACAGTGCACTTTTGCCTCTTTTGCCAGCCCATCGGCTTGATTATTGAGGTCCCTGGAGATAAACGCAAAAGAGCATACATCAAATTTAACAGAGAGAGTTGGTTGGATCGATACATCTATACCAATATATTGGTTGGATTTAACTTAAACTCAAATACATTCTCTGATTTCTATTTTTTTATAGTCTTAAAAAAATGTGATTTTTATTTATTTACTTTATATATAGAAAATTCAGCAAAATATAGGTTCGATTTTTTTTTTGATAAATTAGGAATGATCCCAAAGGTTTTTTAGGTCCAAAGATTAATCTTTTGTAATTGGGGGAAACCATGTTAAATCTCAAACTCCTGTGGCTAATGCTATTCGAACCCATGTGACGGGACTTACCTTCCTTTACCACTGGACCAAGGCGATTTGGTTAGATTCTATCTTTTCATTGTTGCTAACGACTGAAAACTAATGTTATTTTTTTTTACCTAATATAAATCCAGCAGCCATTAACTACTTTGAAAATGACGAAAAACAGTTAGCTATAGAGGTCCGTGTTATTAAAAACCATCGCGATACGAACGATAGAAAAATTGATGAATTAATAGACTACGTAGTAATAGGTGTTGCTGCATTTGTCGATTGATAAAAGACAAATGCATTGTAATAATTATTCTTGTTGGAATTTATTCCTATCGAGAACGAAATAAACATGGCCTTAAACATGGCCATTCAAATTGAGACTACGAAAGTTCTATTTGTTTGTCATCTAGAGTGATTAAGTATCTATGTCGGTAATGAAATTGAATGTAACACCGACGACGTTTTAAATGACTCGGATTGAGGATGTTGTAGACAGACCACCGAGTGTAGTGGTCGTCGTGTGATTGATTTCATTGAAACCAATTCATGCTGCTGTGTTCATCCATCGTCCAAGCAATTACTAAGAGTTTTACATTTATAAACCCAAATGTTGCTAATATATAAACTAACTAAACGTACGTAAAAGCTCATGCAAGATTTTAACATTAAGATTGTTTTATCTAATGTAAAACTATTATCTAGAAACTGATCATTGTTTCTATATATAGTAATGTTTTAAAAAGCGGTCTAGGTGGTCGCCTAGATTCGCCTAATCGACGCTTAGACTACCGCCTAAAATTACATAAGTTATATTTTTATAATATATTTAAAATTTAAAATTTTACATTCATATACATATTTCATATGTTATTGGTAAAAATTAAAATATTTTCCACTAATATTTGTTTATGATTCATTACTATTATTTCTTTAACATATATTTTTACATAATTTTTATATATAATATCATAGTTTGTTTTTTATGCAATCATCTATAATATCATATATATATATATATATATATATATATATATAATATTTTATGTTATAAACGCCAAAACTACTTAAAACAAATCCCGATTAAACATTATAAATGTTAAATGTTAGATTAGCGCATAATTAATTACCGTCTAGCGATTTGTTGAACACTTGTTCTAAACAAAGTCAACTAAATGATTATGCCACTTAAAAACGACAAGTTTTAACTGGTCAAAAAAACATTATAGTACAATCCAAAATTTGATCACTCACGGGTATGTATAAATTGGTCAAGAAAATTACAATACAATATTTTTAAAGTCTTCTCCACAATGATCCAACAACTTCAGCTTAGAGCATAAGCCTAAGCCAAGCCAAGCCTGTGGAGTTTGGTAGGTGCCGATAAATACTACTTGGAATTAAACCGTTGATATGCCTTGTGACTAAGCCACATTATTGAGTTCCGACGTGTGAAATTACAATTGGATCGTTTCATCAAGTGGGATAAGATTACGAACTAGGAGAAGCCAAATTTGAACAAAATTGAACTAGTGATAACCATTTCTCTTCTTTCTTAAGTGTCCTAATCGTACATTTCTAATTGGTCAAATTCGATTTACGGGCCAAATTGGATTTTCTATTCACATTAAGTACATTTTATTAATATTTGTATTGTAAGTAGGCAAAAAAACAATAAAAAATTATATTGTATCTATATTTTATTGGGAAAATTCCATAAAAATTTCCCATCTAAATTTAATTTGGAAGTTTAATAGCCAATATTATTTGATTGGAAATAAAATGCATGGTTTATTAAATGTTGGTCTACTAATACATTAAGTATTTTAAAATTTTCGAATCAAAGAAACCGCTTAACAAACGATTATCGGATTGACGGAATCACTAAACTGGGGTTAATGGAATTACACTAAACTTAGGGTTTATCGATCCCAATTCGGTTTTGGGTAATAGAAAAAGACAATGCAGTCTTTGGATAACCCCAAATTACCCGTGTGTTTAGGGATTAGTGATTTCGTCAACCTCGGTTTAGTGATTCCGTCAATCCGATTAAACGGTTTATTCGATTCAACAATTTTTATATACTTAATGTATTAATAGACCAAAATTAAATAAACCATGCATTTTATTTCCAATCAAATAACATTGATTATTAAACTTCCAAATTAAAATTATATGGGGAATTTTTATGGAATTTTCCCATATTTTATCTATTAAATTTAGAGAATTTTTGAGAAATACCCCTTTTGGTGTACCCATTTTTAAAAATACCCCTATTTTCTATCCATTTTCAAAAATACCCCTTTTCAAATATGAAAAATTATAAACTTTTATATGGTTAATAAGGTGCATCGAGGTCATCATTACTACTAGAAGACTAAATCCAAATATTTATAAGGTTTTAAAAGGTTATAAACGACATTTCTAATGTTTTTATAAGGTTTTTAAAAGGTTTATACAGTTTTTATAAGGTTTTTAAATGGTTTTTAAAAGGTTTTTAAAAGGTTTTTAAAATGTATTTATACGGTATTTATGAAATATATATATAAATTTACACACATATAAATATAATTTGTATCTATAAATATAAGTTTACACATATGTTTTTGATAAATTTCAAAATTTATAATGACTTTTTGATAAATCTAGAAAGAGGGGTATTTTTAAAAAGTGGTATTGGAAAATGGGTATTTTTGAAATTCCCCCTTAAATTTATTAGTATAACATTGTATCTATATTCTCTTTGTTCTCTTTAGATGATATATTTTAATAATGCACATTATATAAGAAATCATTATATATATATAATATTTACTTTGCTCTTTCCAAAAATAATTAGTTTTTTAGATTTGTATTTGCGTGTAATTGACCAAATATACGGCTGCTTAGATATTCATTAAATTTTGGACTATTTACTGGATATCTTTTAAAATCCAGAACATTTACCAGATATTTGTTTTTTTTTTTTAATATAATGTTAAATTAATTCAAGAAAAAATAACGTTTGGTTACATCATATGCAAAAGTTGCTGAAAAACAGAATCTACTAAAGTCCTCTTGATGCCAACCAAGCCCGTAAGCCTGCTTCATGAATACCAATATTTGTTTTGTTACATATTTCTTTAAAAAATAATTATAAAAAATTAAAAGATAAAAATTAAATTTAATCCAAAATAGCAATATTTTATCAGATATATATCTATTTCTTCTTTATTTGTTGAAATTAGTAGTTCAAATAATTAATTTGACTATAAAACTTTTAGAAAAAATATATAACATATTTTAGAACGTAGCAGATATATATCCGGCTATTTAAATTATAGTATTCATGATTTGTTTTATTTTTGACGAATATCAATTTTTAGCATTTAATTTGCTTCAAAAATTTATGGATATCCAAATTTTTCTAATCGAATTTTTCTATATAATATTTTGTTCCCACCGTACTTATACAAAGTCGTTCACCCCAAAATTAGTTATTCTAATGACACCTAAATTTGTAAACTATGTAATCAGTTACTAAATTATATAACACCAGAAAAATTATGACAGCTACTAGAGTCTAATTGTATAACTATAAGAACAGAACCTTCTAGGTAAGCTAGAGTGTTTAAATGTCACGTTATGATATCAGGAAACCTTCTATTTAAACCAGAGTCTTTAGAAGCATCTTCTTCATTTGTTGAGGTCTGTGAAGAAGAGCGAACAGATTCATTGATTTTTGATTTTTCCCAGAGAGAACCTAAGTTTCTTGTTGTTAGTATTCTTAATTTGTCTGTGAACTGGAGAGAGATGATTATTTTGGTTGCTTAGTAATCAACCACTAAGGGGAAGCTGAGATATATAAGTAGTTGTTTTTGTGGATTGATTGCTAATTAGATCGTTTAGGGTTTCGTTTTGGTGTATTACTCTTTTGTTTGTTGTGCAATAATCTGATGGGTGGATACCAAATTGTATCAGAGTTTTGTATGAAGAGATAAGAAGCTCTGCGTTGTTGAAGTTTTTTTTTTTTATGGAACTTCCTGTTTCCTCTCCAAAGCAAAGTTTGAAGATTTTTTAGATTGGAACTCTAAAATTTTCAGTTTGATGTTTAGGTAGCAAAGCCCAGTTATGAACTCGTTGCAGTAGAAACTGTAGCTGTAAACAGGAACTGAATCATTAGTGGAGCATTGGATTTTTTTGGGGTTTCTTGTGTTGGTTTTGTGAAAATGTTGGATTCTAAGCTGAGATTCATCCTTCAAAGATGTGTAGTCTTTGGACAGGCGAAACAAGTCCATGGACAGTTAGTTGTGAACCGCTTTAACCATCTTGAATCCGTTTTGGTCCACCAGACTCTTCTTTTAACTAAAGAGTTCTCTAGAAATGTTGTGAACTATGTCCGGAGAATCCTCAAGGGGGTTAATGGTCTTGATTCTTTCTCTTGGGGGTGTCTTGTTCGGTTCTTGAGCCAGCATAGGAAGTTCGAAGAAACGGTTGGCGTGTACATCGAAATGCATAGCTCTGGAGTTCCTCCTAGTTCACATGCTATAACCTCAGTGTTGAGAGCTTGTGGTAAGATAGAGAACATGATTGATGGTGGTAACTCGATTCATGCTCAGGTGCTTAAAAGTGGATTTTGTGGGTGTGTTTATGTTCAGACGGGTCTGGTGGGTTTGTATTCAAGGCTTGGTTATATTGAAATGGCGCAGAAGGCGTTTAATGATATTGCTGAGAAGAACACGGTTTCGTGGAACTCGCTTTTACACGGGTATCTGGAAAGTGGGAATCTTGATGAAGCTCGCAGAGTATTTGATGAGCTTCCAGAGAAAGATGTTGTGTCATGGAATCTGATTATCTCGAGCTATGCGAAAAAAGGTGACATGGGAAATGCAGTGTCTTTGTTTCTGGTTATGCCTTTGAAAAGCCCAGCTTCGTGGAATATTTTGATTGGCGGGTATGTGAACTGCAGGGAAATGAAACTAGCAAGAACCTACTTTGATACAATGCCCCAGAAGAATAGTGTTTCTTGGACTACAATGATTTCAGGGTACACAAAATCGGGTGATGTTCAGTCTGCTGAGGAGCTCTTTAAACAGATGTCTAAGAAAGACAAACTCGTCTATGATGCCATGATAACTTGTTATGCTCAAAACGGTAAGCCAAAGGATGCTCTGAAGCTATTCTCTCAGATGCTTGAAAGTAATTCAGATGTTCAGCCGGATGAGATCACACTCTCAAGTGTTGTAGCAGCTAATTCACAGTTGGGTGATACCAGTTTTGGTACATGGGTTGAGTCATATATAACCGAACATGGAATCAAGATTGATGATCTCTTACGCACCTCTCTTATCGATCTTTACATGAAAGGCGGCGACTTTGCCAAGGCATTCAAATTGTTCAACGATCTATACAAAAAGGACACAGTTTCTTACTCAGCTATGATCATGGGCTGCGGGAGAAACGGCATGGCCACAGAAGCTAACCATTTATTTATAGAGATGATAAAAAAGAAGATCCCTCCAAATCTAGTAACATTCACAGGACTATTATCAGCGTATAGCCATTCAGGTCTTGTTCAAGAAGGCTACAAATGCTTCAAATCCATGAAAGACTACAACCTGGAACCTTCAGTTGATCATTATGGGATAATGGTGGATATGTTGGGACGAGCTGGGAGGCTAGAGGAGGCATATGAGCTGATCAAGAGTATGCCGATGCAGCCAAATGCTGGTGTTTGGGGAGCGTTGCTTTTAGCTAGTGGTTTACACAACAATGTTGAGTTTGGGGAGATTGCGTGCAGCCACTGTGTTGAACTTGAGACTGATCCTAATGGTTATCTTTCACATCTTGCTAATATATATACGTCTGTTGGTAGATGGGATGATGCAAAGAATGTAAGAGACGCTATGGGAGAGAAGAAACTGTTTAAGACACTTGCGTGTAGCTGGATTGAGAGTTCAGTTTAGGATCATCCATCATCATCAGTGCAAAAGAAACAGTCCGTTAAATTGGGTAAACCAGAATGTGCAGCTGGTTAAGAGATTTGAGGAACATGCTTCAATTTCTACATCCAAAAGAGGAATCAAATCTAAAGTCGGAAACAATCCTAACTTACTGACCAGCATAACGCGTAAACCTTGACCACCTGACGTCTAGTCCTGATTTGGAAGACGAAATACAGAGGATCGACGAGTTCTTTGAGGAAGAAATCACGTATAAGTGATTAAGTTGTGAATCAGAAGGTAAAGACTGTGTCCATGTACTGACCAAAGCCACACTAAATATATTTGTCTGACTTCATTATCATCATCCATCTTTGTTACTCGTAGTAGTAGTAAGCAAAGCATGATGATCCAACCACCAAAGATTCTTCTATTACCTATTGGTCCAACATGAAAGACCAACCACTAAATTCTTAGGTAACTTTCCCCACCTTTAAAGGATATCACAAAAACAATATACAGTATTTGCTCTCCTAACGAAACAATATTACATTTTTTTTGGTGAATTCTATGGCTTTGAATAGAATGGCAGATTAAAGGCAGATTAAAAGCAGATAATACACATAGTGGGGGAACTGCTATTTTTCCTCCATTCACACAAAATTAATATAATGGCAGTTCAAAAAAGGAAATATTATTAAAAAATAATTGATCTGCTGGCAGATCAAAAATAAGAAGGATATTTGTACTGTACTATGAACAGTAAAAAAGCTGGAGATTTGGAGTGTTTTTAAATGAACTGCTTTTTTAATAAAAAATTAATAAAACTTGATCTGCATTTAATATGCCATATCTGCTTAATTTGCTTTTGTTCTGCTGGGTATATTTGAACTGCTTGATCTGCTCTGCCATATTTATTATCTCCATTCAAAACCTATATATATTATTACAACATTTTACATATATATTATTTCATTTTTGTACATTTCTCGTCAACTTTTTTTTTTTTTTTTTGGTAAAATATGGACTAAAACTAATTTGTGACAACAGGTTTGGCAAATTGAATAAAATCAAAAACAATTTCCTTAATTGTGTAAAATAGTTTAGCAATCGGTGCGACTCTAATCTAATAAATCCAATCAAAGTTACATTTTTTTTTCAAAAATAACCAAATCGGTAATTACTACTGTAAAATTATTGTCACGTGTCGCAATGTTCACGTTTGACTCGTTCGAAGACAGACGAATGTCATAAACTCTTCACTAAACTCCGTACGGTTAAGACAAAACACAACTAAGCAAGAAAAAACAGAAAATGCAAAAAAAGAAGATAAATACAGATGAGAAAATATTTTTTAAACGTTAAAGAAAAAAGTGAAAATTAAAATGCTTCTCGTCGTTTACTTAACAAAAGAGGTTAAGTTGAGTAGTAGTAGCTCACAGCAAGCAAACACATTCTTTGCTTTATTATTTTTTATATTTTTCTTCTTCTTCTCTATCTCTTCTGCAAGAAATAGATCTTGGGACCAAGTAAGGGATCTTTTATAATAAATACTATATAATAAAATCTGATAGTTACTGTATACTAGTGTGTAGCTTCTAGATTTCCTTATCCATACTATTTTTGATTCTAGGTGGCTCTCTTCAGCTACTACATTTATGGCTTTATGATCTTCTTGAGTGCTTTTGTTGTTGAGATTTCGTTGTTATGACCTTAGAAAGAGGATGAATTGATCTTACTATGGCTGGAGAGAAGAGAATAGGGATGAAACTGAGTAAATTATATTCTTTCAAGTGTTTTAAACCTTCTTCTAGAGAAGATCATTCTCAGATTGGTTCAAGAGGTTACTCAAGAGTTGTGTTCTGTAATGATCCTGATAACCCTGAGGCTCTTCAGCTTAATTACAAAGGGAATTATGTGTCAACCACTAAGTATACAGCTGCTAATTTCATCCCAAAGTCTTTGTTTGAGCAGTTTAGAAGAGTTGCCAATATATATTTCCTCGTTGTTGCTTTCGTTTCTTTTAGCCCTTTGGCTCCTTATACTGCTCCTAGCGTTCTTGCTCCGCTCTTGATTGTGATTGGTGCTACTATGGTTAAAGAAGGTGTTGAAGATTTGAGAAGAAGGAAACAAGTATGTCTTTTCTTGTTTTTGATGTTTTTGAAGATTATGACAATCTTTTGTGTGTTTGATGGTTTGGTTAATGTGTTCTTGTGTGGTTAGGATGTTGAAGCTAACAATAGGAGAGTTGAAGTTTATGGTAAAAACAGAACATTTGGCGAAACCAAGTGGAAAAATCTCCGAGTTGGTGATGTTGTGAAGGTTAATAAAGATGAATACTTTCCAGCTGATCTTCTTCTTCTTTCATCTAGCTATGAAGATGGGATTTGTTATGTTGAAACCATGAATCTTGATGGAGAGACTAATTTGAAGCTAAAACACGCGTTGGAGATCACATCTGACGAAGAGTCGATCAAGAACTTCAGGGGAGTGATCAAGTGCGAGGATCCTAATGAGCATCTTTATTCCTTTGTAGGAACACTTCATTTCGAAGGAAAGCAGTATCCTTTATCTCCTCAGCAGATTCTTTTGAGGGATTCCAAACTGAAAAACACGGATTATGTCCACGGCGTGGTTGTTTTTACGGGTCATGACACGAAAGTGATGCAGAATGCTACTGATCCTCCTTCTAAAAGGAGTAAGATTGAGAAAAAAATGGATCAGATCATTTACATTCTTTTCAGTATCTTGATTGTGATATCGTTTGCTGGATCTTTGTTCTTCGGGATTGCGACGAGAAGAGATATGAGTGATAATGGGAAGATGAGAAGATGGTATCTTAGACCTGATGAGACTACTGTTTTCTTTGATCCACAGAGAGCTGTTGCTGCTGCTTTCTTTCACTTCTTGACTGCTTTAATGCTATACGGTTACTTAATACCGATATCTTTATATGTGTCAATTGAAGTTGTGAAAGTGTTACAGAGTATATTTATCAACCAAGATCAAGAAATGTACCATGAGGAAACAGACAGGCCTGCTCGTGCAAGAACGTCTAATCTCAATGAAGAACTTGGCCAAGTTGATACAATTCTCTCAGACAAAACAGGTACTTTGACTTGTAATTCAATGGAGTTTGTGAAATGTTCGATTGCTGGAACGGCTTATGGGCGTGGTATGACTGAAGTAGAAATAGCCTTGAGAAAGCAAAAGGGTCTTGTGCCTCAAGAAGAAGTTGGTGATGATTCTTTATCCATGAAGGAGAAAAAAGCGAATTCGAAAAAGTCGGTTAAAGGTTTTAACTTCTGGGATGAGAGAATAGTTGACGGGCAATGGATTCATCAACCGCATGCAGAACTCATCCAGAAGTTTTTTCGGGTCTTGGCGATCTGCCACACTGCTATTCCTGATGTAAATAGTGATACTGGAGAGATCACATATGAAGCTGAGTCTCCGGATGAAGCGGCTTTTGTCATAGCTTCTCGAGAGCTTGGATTTGAATTCTTTACAAGGTCTCAAACTAGTATATCTTTGCACGAAATCGACCATACGACCGGCGAAAAAGTAGACCGGTAATCTAAAGCGCCAAATCTTTCTATTTTAGTTAACATGAGAGTATAACAGTTCTAAATTTATCAAAATTTTATTACATGTTGACAGAGTATATGAGCTGCTTCATGTCCTAGAGTTCAGCAGTTCGCGGAAAAGAATGTCGGTAATTGTGCGAAATCCAGAAAACCGGTTATTGTTGCTTTCGAAAGGCGCAGACAGGTTAGCACTTTAAATGCTCAAATCTTGAAGTTATTGCATATGGTTTTAGTGGGAATATCTTAATACTGTCATGTGTTTCAGTGTAATGTTTGAAAGACTTGCGAAACACGGACGCCAAAATGAGAAGGAGACAAAGGAACACATCAAGAAGTATGCAGAGGCAGGTTTAAGAACATTGGTGATTACATACAGAGAAATCGATGAAGACGAGTACAGAATATGGGAAGAGGAGTTTATAAACGCCAAAACTTTGGTCACTGAAGAAAGAGATGATTTGATTGATGCAGCTGCTGACAAGATTGAGAAGGATCTGATTCTTCTTGGGTCTACTGCTGTGGAAGACAAGCTGCAGAAAGGTGTAAGTATAAAGAAAACAAAAATAAGTTACTTATTACAGTTTCTGTTACATCAGCATATGTTTCTTTTTAAACAGGTTCCAGATTGTATTGAGAAGTTATCTCAGGCTGGGGTTAAGATATGGGTTTTAACTGGCGATAAGACCGAAACCGCAATAAATATCGGGTTATTCTCGGACTTTTCTTGATCTTCTGCTTTTCTGTAAAAATTTCAAATATATTAAGCTGTGTTGTTATTTACAGATATGCTTGTAGTCTCTTAAGAGAAGGGATGAAAAAGATTTTGATAACTCTAGATTCATCTGACATTGAAGCCTTGGAAAAGCAAGGAGACAAGGACGCTGTTGCAAAGGTAGTTTTGTTATTTTCCTGTGTAGATAACTTTTTAAAGCTTATGGTGGTGAGACTTGTTTTTTGTATGTTTGTTAATAGGCTTCGTTCCAGAGTATTAAGAAACAGTTACGAGAAGGAATGTTACAAGCTGCTGCAACAACCGATGATTCAGACAACCCGGAAATGTTTGGTTTAGTGATTGATGGAAAGTCATTAACTTTTGCATTGGACACAAAGCTGGAGAAAGAATTCTTGGAACTTGCCATTCGATGTAACTCTGTTATCTGTTGTCGGTCTTCGCCTAAACAAAAGGCTCTCGTAAGATTTGCGCCACGACTGCTCGTTCTGTTTTCACTTTTTCTTTTAACAGTAGAGTGATGTGATCGAGAGGCATAGATTATATTTGTTAGGTTACAAGATTGGTAAAGAACGGGACAGGGAGAACAACGTTGGCTATTGGAGATGGCGCGAATGATGTTGGAATGCTTCAAGAAGCTGATATTGGAGTTGGTATAAGTGGTGCTGAAGGAATGCAGGTAACAGATTTATCTAGCTCTTCTTCTTTTTACTATGAAACTGTCATTAATGTTTCTTATTACAGGCAGTGATGGCTAGTGATTTTGCGATTGCTCAGTTTCGATTTCTGGAACGTTTGTTGCTTGTTCACGGTCATTGGTGTTATAGACGAATCGCATTGATGGTAACAAGCTTTAAAAACTCAACTCATGAGTGAAACAGTGCAAGAGTTATTTAGAATCTTTTTTCTTGTTTCTGATTGTTTACTTGTGGAACTCAGATATGCTACTTCTTCTACAAGAACCTCACATTCGGGTTCACGCTGTTTTGGTATGAAGCTTATGCTTCTTTCTCTGGAAAACCAGCTTATAACGATTGGTATATGTCGTGCTTCAACGTCTTCTTCACTTCACTTCCCGTCATCGCCCTTGGAGTTTTCGATCAAGATGTCTCTGCTCGCCTTTGTCTCAAGGTAAATGGCTCTATTTTACTAGATCGACCCATTTAAAACAAATCGATTCGTCGCATTGTCTTTCTTGATTTTGTTTTCTTTTTTCACAGTATCCCTTATTGTACCAAGAAGGAGTACAGAACATATTATTCAGCTGGGAACGGATCCTTGGTTGGATGCTGAATGGAATCATAAGCTCAATGATCATTTTCTTCCTCACAATCAACGCAATGTCAGCTCAAGCTTTTCGGAAGGATGGCCAAGTAGTTGATTACTCGATTCTCGGAGTCACAATGTACTCTTCCGTGGTCTGGACCGTGAATTGCCAAATGGCAATTTCGATAAACTACTTCACTTGGATCCAACATTGCTTCATATGGGGAAGCATCGGAGTTTGGTATTTGTTTCTTGTCATCTACGGTTCTCTCCCTCCAACGTTTTCCACAACCGCATATCAGGTCTTCGTCGAGACTTCAGCACCGAGTCAGATATGTTGGCTCACTCTTTTCCTCGTGACGTTCTCTGCTCTATTGCCATATTTCACTTACAGGGCGTTTCAGATTAAGTTCAGACCAATGTACCACGATATTATAGTTGAACAAAGGAGAACAGAACGGGCAGAGACTGCTCCGAGGGGGGTTCTTGGCGAGCTTCCGGTGCAAGTTGAGTTTACCCTGCATCATCTTAGGGCAAATTTGTCTAGAAGAGATTCTTGGAATTGATTTATATTTTACGCAACTTAGCTTTTTTTATTTTATTATTATTACTAATTTTGTAAATATAGATTGTAGTGTGACTACTGCTAATACTTGAGAGTGTGTTTAATTTGTAGCTAGTTTTAGGAAGTGCAAAGCGATTTACTTACTATATGGAGTATAATATATAAAACTGTTTATATAGTTTCTATTTATACTTTTTGGATGGACCATAATATTTTATAGTTAATTTTCATAGAAATTAATACTTTCTAATATAGAGATAAATTAGTTTTTTAAAACTATTATATTTAAAGATTTATTAGTATCGTTATGTATATATATATATATATATATATATATACATTTATAATATTTCAAATTAAATGTAGTTTAGTTTTATTCAAATTCTTTTTAACAACTAGTGTAATGTTTGCTTAAAAGTTATCCATTATACAAAAATCAAAAGATTAGAAGCTTAGTTTTTAGTTTTTAATATGATGCAAACCTAGTCACCGTACGTACACTTTTTGTACTAGTCATCTCATTACTGGTTATCATATCATGTACTTGTTGCTGTGATGGATAAGGTGATTCAATAAATTTACCGTCTCTTTCTACATACAGAAATTGAATGGAAAGTCGTACATCATAAAAAAAGGTTATTAATGTAACTTGATAGCAGTATAACATAATACAAATTGTTTTGGACCTATGCACAATTATTGTTTCAGAAGTTACTGATTTTACTATAATCGCGACTATATCAAATTGTTTATGTACATAGATTTAAGGTGACTTGTAGATCAAACTGTTTTATACTGATTAAGGCGAATTGAAGACAAGAGCATTGAAAAGTATATCTACAAAATGGGTTAAAGATCATTAAGGTGTAGTAGTTGCTTGATAATGAAGAAGTGTGGCATTACAATACCAAGAGTAACATGTGTTTAGAAATTGATAACTGTCCTTATATATGAACCAAGTAGCTAAGTTTGTTCAACTTGTTAAGTCATGATCATATGAATCTCGTTTTTTCAATAATCAATTTAGTTATTTGTTTTCTTTATATGCCATGACAACTCACGATTTCTAGAGATATTGTTTCGTCGGTCAACGTTTTCTTAATGTGTGATATGTTTAACATTTTCATATTCATACAACTACGTAAAACAAATATTTAAGAATTTTATAACACTGAATCCGGATAATGTGACGATTTGGTCTTAATGGTGGACAGAAAATAATGTTTTTTTTATAAAGAATCGTTGATTTGATCTTGATAGCGATTCACAAGTCTTCTTTAAGCTTCATTCACAAGACTACGTCAAGAAATGTGATAAAGACTTCTAGAAGTATTATCCGTATAAAACAGATGTAACATATACGTGCCCATGTGAGAAAATTTTCATATCAACAGTATCGTATTTATTGCTCTCAATCATATATATTATTGTTTTGCTCTCAATTTTGAACGTTCGTTTTCGAGAAGCTAAGATTACATTACATTATTAAAAAATAAAATAAAAGTTTGATTCAACGTAGCAGCCATGATTCATGGTGTGTATTGGTATCTCTTAGACTTTGTCAGCAATTACGTATGCAATTTCAATTATATTGAGTGCTTTGGACTATAATTCAACTTTGCACACACACATATACATCACACACAACGCAACATAAGAGAAAAATTCAATAAATAATGATATAAAAGATGGAAATTTTTACTTAAAGATGGCTGTTGAACTAATTAGACGTGACCTGACCGACGATGACTTATATGATGCATCTTATATATTTTTTGGTCATGTTTTATTATGCAAACAAAATATCCATTTTTACATTGTTGCTATAAATATATACATATGTATACAGTGAACGGTCTTTATGAAATTATTTTCTTAGAGAACAAGTCTACATACTTTCTCAATCAGAGGAATTTATTATTATTTTATTTTTATGAAAATGACCTTCAAAATCTAATCAAAGAAATTAGAAAATCTTCCCAATTTTACTTCGAAAATCACAGGTTTTATCTGGATGATCATAAATATATTAAATTCTGCCAATCAATAAACCAATTATGTTGCTGCCACAAAAAAAAAAAACCAATTCTGTCATTTTACGTAATTAAATTATCATTTTAAGGAATGTCTAAATTTTTTTATCATTGACCAAACTAGAAATTTTCTCGGTATGGATTTATAATCCGGGACAGTAGAGGGATAGAGATTTTCAAAAAATATAATTTTAGTTAAAAATAGTAAAATGACCCTTCTAAATTTTTTATTTTGACCCTATTAAATTTATAACTTCATTTAAATCCTTTAAAATTTTGTATCTTGACCTCATTTAAAACAAAATTTGCATTTTGATACTCTAAAAATTTGCATTTTATCCATTAACTAAATAAATTTTCACTTCAACCCCTTAAATTTTACATTTTTATCTCATCAAAAAATTAAATAAAAAATAAGTGTTACCCTCTAAAATTTGGTTCTGGCTCCGCTACGGTTTATAATATGTTTTAACTATAATATTTTTGTATTTTACATAGTTTAGTCGATAGTTTATAAGATACGATACTTATGACCTCCAATCATAAAAGAGTTAACTCTTGTATAAAAAGCTAAAAATTTTAATGAATCAAACTAATCATCTAGAAGTTTATAACACATGCAATAAAATTTACTAAATTAAAAAAATCTCTCCATAAATTAACAATTATTAATCTAACAAAAAAAAATCAATTCATCTTATACACTAATAAACTATTTTATTCCCACTAGTATTAATTTATAATTTCAGTACAACAAAAATTGGGTCCAGATATTTAAAATTGCATGTAAGTATGTAACCAACATTAGTTGGCTGAAATATATCATTGTTAAACTTATTTGACAAAAAAAATAAATTTTCTCAAAAAAAAAAAAAAATCTCAAATAATAAAACCAAAACTTCTGAATCAAGTAGCGGGATTCACCTTCTAGAAAGAAACTCCACGTTATGCATTCCTTCTCCTTCTTCTTCTTCCATCATCACTCTATTAATTACTAAAACTGCCATCATCATCCATCCATGTGCTCTCAACCACTTGCTCCTATATATACGGCTTCTTCCACAACAAGACAAAAAAAAAAATTAAAACTCCATTAAAGCTTAAACACACCAAAACCTCTCTCTCTCTTTTCATCTGTCAACTGTAAAATGGAGAGAGACGATGATTGCAACGCTTACACGGCGTCGTTTTCGCCTAGCTTCAGTACTTATTCAGGTGATCGTCTTTCAGAGATCGCCGAACGAGTTTGTTACAGAGAGAAATCAGACGAAGAATTCGAGTTTTCCATAACCGCACCGCCGCCGCCTACGTCATCTTCTTCCGTTTTCCCTGTTTTTAACAAAAATCTTATTTCCGGCGAAACATCACCGGAGAAAACGGTTATAATTCCGTTAAAAGATCTGTTTCTCCGCGAAAAAGAAGTAAATCAACCACCACAACAGACGTATTCATCCTCTTCCGACGACGACGAAGAAGACGAGTTCGAAGAGCTCCCAAGCGAGATCTACTGTCCATGGACACCAGCTAGATCCATGTCACCGAGCGGAGGATGTAGAAAAAGCAAATCTACAGGTTCCTCGTCGACATCGTCGTGGTGTCGGAAAAAGTGGCGTTTGAGAGATCTTCTCAAGAGAAGTAAAAGCGATGGTAAACAATCACTAAAATTCCTAAATCCAACAAACACAGTAGAGGAATCAACATCTTCTTCGACGGAGAAGGTAGTGATCAAGAAGAAGGAGAAGAAGAAGGAGACAGTTTCGGTGGTATCAGTAGTATCAGCACATGAGAAGTTTTATTTGAGGAACAAAGCGATGAAAGAAGAAGACAAGAGAAAATCATATTTACCGTACAAGCAAGATCTTGTTGGACTTTTCTCTAACATTCATCGTTATGGCAAAACTTTCTGATCCATTCATTTCGGTGTAGGATCAAATTTAGTGTTTTTTTTTTTTGGTCTTTTTTTCGCATAATGAAGAAAAAAAATATACGATTTTACATTCGTATTTAATAAAAATAAAAAATAGTTTATATATATACAAAGATGTGAGATGGGTAAGTTTTTTTTTTAATAAACACATCTTTTTGATCATGTTCATAATTAATTATATGCTGTTGTATAATTTTGGGTGGAGAGATTTTGATGTAAATATTTATATAATTTGAGATATTTTTATTGGATTTTAAAATTGACAGGTTTAGTGTTTTTTTTTCAAGTGTACACTTGATATAGACATGTAATGTAAAGAAAGACAAAAGAAAAATATAGATTTTTTTTTATGGATGGATATGATTAATTTATAAAATATTGACAAGTATTTTTTTTAATTATGGTTAGGTAAATGATAGCTATCTACTTTACTGTGGGAATGATTAAATTCTTGACAAAATAATTGTGTTGTAGTTGTATAGATAGAGTAGGGTCGTCGTCATCTAGAGATTAGAAGAAACTATTCCATAGCTATGGGAAAAGTACACATTCTTCTCCTAATTGGGCTATGCAGTTTCTACGGTAGTTTTTTTGTTTGTTTGTCTATTTGTATAGTTTTTATGTAAAAGTGGAATAAGTTTTCGAAATCCAAAAACCGGCAGAAGACAAAGATATATTTGGAAACTTAAATCCGAAAAATGGGAAGCATAAGATAAAACACTAAAGCCGAAAAAAAATAAATCCGAAAAATGGAAAGCATAAGATAGAACACTAAAGCCAAAAAAAAAGCTGTCAAAATCATCGCAGAAGTCGGAAGAGAACATTAGTCGCGGGACTAAGTACTCCAAAGTCGATGTCGAAAGACCTACAAGCGCAAATGAAAGAGATCTAAAGATAGAGAGGTCACCGCGAAAAGTTGACCCCAACTGAAACCGGATACCTCGAACGCAAACGTAATTCATATCCACCTAATCTTCCTACTTAGAAGAGTCTATATTGTATTCCTAAAGTTACATTTTGATTCAGTAAATGTTTTGTTAATTGCGCAAATGTTGTCTTAATGATCGAGCTTTGTCTTCTAGAGATTTGTTTTTCACATAAGAAACTCATCACACATTTAAAATCTGGTGAATCATGTATACAATATTATTGAGAAATGGAATGTATTATACAACAAGTGAAACACACTGTTTAAAATCACAACAATTGGCATTATTTTTCATCAACACGAAAGATCTCTCAAATGATCAATGATTTGACTCACTTATAAACCTTACTTGCCTTGAAGTCGAAGTGTGAATGCTTGTAACGAGACAAGGACTTGCTTCAATCTCTCCTTAGCCACTTCGTCGATTAAGTTTCCTTCTGCGTCGAATTTCTGAGGCGGTTGAAACGCGTTGAGAGTAAACTCGGGTTTGTTGATGAAATGAAGATCAAGAAATACTCCGATTTGTCGAAGATGATATTGCGATCTTCCTCCACCAAAACCTCCACCAGTACTTATAACGGCAGCGGGTTTGTCTGCCCAAACGTTAGGCGCTCTTGAAGCCCAGTCAAGTGCGTTCTTAAGTGGAGCTGGTTATAGTAACAAGAATGGTAAACCAGCCAAAAACAACGATTGAAGTCAGAATATCGAAATAGTCTTTGAATCATATGTTTTAAACATTATAGAAAAATGATTTAAGACCCACCACATTGCTCAACATTAAGCAAGAGTCTACAAGGTCCACATAAACAGAGCTAACATAAAACCGATAAAAATGTCACAACTTCCTACAAAATTTGATATTTTACAAGCCAATAACAATCAAAGAGTCATGTCACATTCTTCAACACTAAGCAAAAGGATACAAGAATCACAATTACAGAAGTTGCATTGTCAAAAATTTGGAATTGACTCAAGAAATATCACAACTTCCCACAAAACCGAACATTCACAAGTCAACAAAGAGTCGTGTCACATTCCTCAACACTAAGAAAAATCTCTACAAAGTTCACAGAAACAGAGCTTTCATCAAATGGATAAAATTTGGCATTCTAACATCAGAATTTTCACACTTTCCCAAAAAAAAATCAAAACTTTATCAACAGTCAAAAATGTAAACAACCAAGCAACAGAACTGGCAAGAGTATCTCAACTTGAGCCTAAGTTGCATATGACTGAGAACAAAGATAAAACTCAAAGTTACAGTAACATATCTTACCAAATCCAATTGATGATACTTGAGAAAAAAAACCAAAATCTCCAAATCCTTATAGACATCTCATAATGAAACAAGACAAAAAAACACATCTTCTTCTCTTGTAGCAAATCAAGAAACCTCTCAAGACCAAACCGTTGCATATATAAAAGAACCTTTTAAAAGTTTCTTTCCAAAACGAAACAAAGACAAAGACATATCATCTTCAAGCATATGACTAAGACAAAGATGAAACCATTGTTACAGTAACAACTCTAATCAAATCCAATTAACGATACTTGATAAACCAAAACACAATGAAACAAACACAAAGACCACATCATCTTGTAGCAAAATCAAGAAACCTCTAAAGACCAAACCATTAAAGACCACATCATCTTGTACCAAAATCAAGAAACCTCTAAAAAGACCAAACCATTAAAGAACAAATCATCTTGTAGCAAAATCAAGAAACCTCTAAAGACCAAAACCATTAAAGAACAAATTCTTGTAGCAAAATCAAGAAACCTCTAAAGACCAAAACCATTAAAGAACAAATTCTTGTAGCAAAATCAAGAAACCTCTAAAGACCAAACCATTAAAAGAACAAATCATCTTGTAGCAAAATCAAGAAACCTCATAAAGACCAAACCTTTAAAAGAACTTATCATAAAGAAAGAACCTTTCTTGAAGTACCTGAAACAGAGAAATTGTACTCAGGAGAAGCAAACAAGATACTATCAGCTTCAAGAATCTTTTGCCGGAAAGCTTCAACAGCCGGAGGATAAGTACCGTTGATTTCAAGATCAGTGTTAATCAACGGTAACGGAGATATATCTACATACTCAATTTGCATTCCAGGAACAGACTCTTTAGTCAAATCAATCGCTGCAAGAAACCCAAATTATAAAAATTTAACATTAAGCAAACGAAACCACAAAAACTTGCAAAAGTTATACAACAATAAAGAAGTACATACCTGCGCGGAGGAGACCAGTGTTGTAAGAACCTTTACGGAGAGAACCAGACAGAGCAGCGACTCTGATCAATGGCTTTATCGCCGCTACTGCCTCCATTTTTTTTTTTCTCCGATTGAAGAGTTTGAGAATGCGTTTGACCGATGAAGAAGGAGAAAGAGAGAGAGAGATGGGTTAGGTGTTTAAAAGTCTGATTCCACTAATTAAACTTATGAAACTCTCAAAAAGTGTAAGTGGCATGATTAGTGTGACTAATGATATCACAAGCATTATCTCATCACCTTGTGTCACTTTTCTAAAAAATATTTGCAATTAAAAAAAAAAGGAATTTTTTAAAAATATCAGTATGAAGTTTATTTTTAAAAAATATTACAAAAGTATATTTTTTTCCAAAAATACCACGAAACTAAAGCTTAAATTTTTAACATTCAAAACTAATTTCTAAATCCTGACCACTAAACCCTACTTCTAAAAATTAAAATCTAAATGTAAATAGTCAACCTAAACACAAAAATAAAAAAAATTACATCTTCAAAATTTAATTTTTTATGTTTCTAGTATTTTAAGAAAAATAAAACTTTTTAAAAAAAACAAATGATAGTATTTTTTACAGAAAAAAACTTAAAATATGCTATCCAAAAGAATTTCCCAAAATAAAATACACTATTTAAGAGTAGAATGTATAAATAAAAATCTAAAATAACCATAGTTCCAAAGTTTTTATAATTACAAGTTAGTTTTAAATTTTATTTTATAATGAATTACAGTTACTTTCGAATTTATTCGATCTAAACATATTTTGTTTGAGAAAAACGAACAAAAGTTAATAACTGCATCTGGATAGAGCGTTAAATTGATGAAACGGAGAATCCTTTAATCTAAGATGTAATTACGATAAACTATATAATTGTATGAGAATATAACCATATAGAATATCAGTATTTAAATGGTTGGATAAACTCGTAATAAATATATAATGAGAAAGTGAAATTTTGCTCACTTCACTGACTTGGGCATTATCATCATTCATCAAACGATCGACCAAACCTCACAAGTCACAACATGATCAAAATGAATTGATTCACTTGACTTGCTTACCTTTGAAGTCTAAGTGTAAATGCTTGTAACGAGATAAGGACTTGTTTCAACTTTTCCTTAGCGGCTTCATCGATTAAGTTACCTTCTGCGTCAAACTTCTTAGGCAGCTGAAACGCATTGAGAGTAAACTCTGGTTTGTTGATGAAATGAAGATCAAGAAATACTCCGATTTGTCGAAGATGATATTGCGCTCTTCCTCCACCAGAACTTCCACCAGTGCTTATAATCGCAGCGGCTTTGTCAGCCCAAACATTAGGTGCTCTTGACGCCCAGTCAAGTGCGTTCTTAAGTGGAGCTAGTAGTATAGTAACAAGTTAAGGTAAACCAACCAAAAAAGTAAACGATGAAGTCAGCATATCGAAAATTATTTTGGAACTGTATAACATAAAAATCTTCACAATTCTCCACAAAATCTTACTCTCACAAAGCCAACATCAATCAAAAGAGTATATAAAATCTCAGAAATTAACAGAACTCGCAAGAATCTTTTTAACTTGAGCATATGACTAAGACAAATATAAACCATAGTTATCAAATCCAAATTGATGATACTTGTAAAACCCAAAAAAAAAAAAAACGTAATCCTTAAGACATCTCACAATGAAACAAGACAAAGACCACCACATCATCTTGTAGCAAAATCAAGAAATCTCTAAGACCAAACCATTAAAAACCATATCATGATCTTGTAGCAAAATCAAGAAACCTCTCAAGAACAAAGTATTAAAGAACATAACATCTTGTAGCAAAATCAAGAAACCTCTTAGACCAAACCGTTGCCTAAAAAGAACCTTTCTTGAAGTACCTGAGACAGAGAAATTGTACTCAGGAGAAGCAAACAAGACACAGTCAGCTTCAAGAATCTTCCGCCGGAAAGCTTCAACAACCGGAGGATAAGTACCGTTGATTTCAAGATCGGTGTTAATCAACGGTAACAAAGATATGTCTATATACTCAATTTCCATTCCCGGAACAGACTCTTTCGTCATATCAATCGCTGAAGAAACCCCAAAAGAAGTTAGCATTACCACAAAATTAAAAAGAACTGAACAAAAGTTACTAAAAATGGAAATATACCGGCGCGGAGGAGACCAGTATGGCAAGATGTTTTACGGAGAGAACCGGAGAGAGCAGCGACTCTGATCAGTGGCTTAACCGCTGTGACTGCCTCCATCTCCGATTAGAGAGTTTGAGAAAGTGTTAAGAGTGTTTACGGTTGACCAATGAAAAAGAAGGATGACAAATGACGGGTGAAGAAACAAGAATATTCACACACAAAAAAAAAATGAAGACATGATATATTATAAACACTTTAAAAATAAAATAAGAAATATAATACTATCAAGTGTTATAATGTAAAAAAAAACTGAAAATAACACATTAAATAACGTGTACAAGTCCCATGTTAATCTTAATTGTCACGTAGGCCACTTAACCTTCATTTTCCTAGTTTCATCACTCTCATCAGCTATTGTTTCCATAATACAAAAACATTTAACGTCTCTTCCACAGTACACATAATATACTCTCCATACATTAACCATCCTAAAGACTGTGTAATTGTGTATAATGATGCTGTTGAACCAAATATTCAATTGCTTAATGAATACAACGAAAGTGTTGAATAATATGAAAAATATACATGCATTAAATTGTGATAGATAAAAGAAAAAATGAATGTCAAACTGTAACTCACAAAATGTTGAGCGCACATGTTTCATTTTGTAGCGACATGTGTTGCTATTTTATTGGTAAACTTAGATTTTTGTGATTTGTAATCCATCCCAATTATTTGTACTCAATTATTTTGTAGAATTCAATTTTGCTTTCTCCTATGCTCTTACCAAAGTCATCATTAAAATGCGTAGTTAATGCAAAACACCCAAATTATGCACATCATGCATAATTGAGTACCATGGAAACCTTCATCTTCATAGTCATTTCATATATGGGAACCTTCATCTTCCTACTCACTTCGTCTTATACAAGTGATGCTCTCATCATCAGATTCTGATATTCGTGATAAAAAAATCTTTAACATTTATACCATAGCAGGCAGGCACCCTTTATACCAATGTTTACGAGTGCCTTACTTAGAAACTTAAAAACATATCATTTTCATATAATAGAAAACCCATAATTAATAGTAATAGGTTTAAAAGTTCTAAAAATAATTGAAAAGAAAAATAAAAATTTAACATTACATTTTGAATCGCGAAATTTGGCTATACTTGTTTTGACAATATTTTAATAACAAACGATAGTCTGAATTCTAACCAAAACGAAAACAAAGCCAAAACATTGCTTTAGTTAACAATATTTTAACAATAAACCAAAGCAAAGAAATATTACAACAAGTGTTACGTGTTCGTGGTTATAAAATATTTAAAGTAGATTATATGGAATTTTATACTTTGATAAAAAATTTAACACAAATCAAAGCCAGAGTCTAATTAAAGGGTATGGTCTCATAGTTCAACATAGATAAGTAGTTGACGATCAATTGATTTTAAATTTGGAATTTAACTAATCATTGAATTTGTACCACTTTTTTACTAATTTGTTTGAAAAAGAAAAAACAACAAATTCAAAAGAAAAACTAACAATTAACTTAAAAATATGATTTGAACTTGAAAAAACAAAAAAAATTACCCACAGCGCATAAAAGGTATCCTATTGAAAATATCATAAATTGTGACGCTATTTGAATTGTTTACTCTAGCGTTTGTAGGCTTTAGTCTTATATAAAAGGCCATAATTTTTATTTTAAAGGCTATATAGATATAATTTTTGTGATTTTTACAATTATTTGTACTCAATTACAAAACTATACACTACAAGAAAAACAACGATTTCCTACGGCCAGTTGCGTGAAAAAATGGTAGGAAAGAGCTGTTTCTTACGATATTCCTACAACTAAAATGGTAGGAAATCGCCCGTATGAAATCAATGATGGTAAGAAATTGGTAGGAAAATTTCCTACCAAAAAACGCGCCGAAAGAATTTTCGTAGGCATTTTCGTAGGAAAAGCGAAGGGTATTTCTGACCGTTTTCCTTCCAATAAAACGTAGGAAACCTTTTCCTTCTAATTTCCTACCAAAAGATTCCCTTCTATTTTCCTACGAAAACTCTATTCATTCCGATTTCCTACGAATTATTTCACTCCAGATTCCTACAAATTTTCCTTCAACTTTCCTTCAAAAGATACCTTCCAACATTCCTTCAAATGTGTTTGGTAGGAAATACTAAATATTCAGTAAATTACATAATTCAGTTTTAAATCGATTATAAATTATTAAATTGACTAAAAATATATTAAAAACGATGAAAATGACAGAAACTTATATATAAAAACATCAATGTAACACAAACAAAGTGTTGATAAGCTTAAACATCAATATAATACAAAGAAACAACCTAAAAATCATACAAATGTTCAAATTTTAAAAAGAACCAGAAATCATTACTCTTGGGTTTCATCGTCGTCATCTTCAAGGACTGTCGGAGTCAAACTCGGATCTTCCGGATAAGTAGGTGGGCGCAAATCAGAAAACTATCCGCGGAGAAACTTTCACTATGACTCACTCCACCTTGCCAAGTTCTCCAACATTTGTGCTGCTGCTCTCTACTACCGTCTCTCTAACAAACCTACAACAAAAAAGGGATTTAAAAAAAAAAAGTGAAATAACCTTTGAGTCTCTACACCGAGTCTTCTTTCCTCTTCTTTGATATCCTTGTGATTTGATCACTACCTGCAAGAAGCTCACAACCTAACTTGAGCATTCATTTATACTCTTCTTATCATAACTAAATATGTCTCTAATGGGATTTCAGCTACCAAAACAGTTTCCTAACCCAATGTCGAAACAAACTAATAATACAGAGGCATAAAGTTGATTAAAAAGAATGATGTGTCACAATGGCACATAAAGTTGTCTGAAGTGGATAAGAGCATAAGATTATATATACACATTCACCAAAAATAATGCCATATAAGTGTCGCAGAGACTAGCAAAAGAACAGGGCCAAACACTTGAACAAAGTCAAGCACGTAGCATGACAGATAAATAAGTTATAATTCTTGTGTCTGGTATGCAAACTCAAATATTGGTATAACCACTCACAGATGGCAGCTGCTAAACCAGATCAAAAGAGTATTCTCTGGCTCTGCTCTTATCTGAAACACAAACCAGACATAAGAATTTTAACAAAATCAGACACAAGAATTCTCAGCTACTTTATTCTCTAGCTCATTCAAACTTGTGCGCTATCAATCTTAAGATAACAGAAGGAAGAAGCATGAACAACAAGAAAGCAATTGCATGTTTATGCAAACAAAAACGATTTCATCATCACTAGTGATTTACTACAAATCTGAAATACATGATACATTTCACTACCTTAACTTAAACGAAACAGACTTAGCTAAACAAGCATGATTAGAATCTGAAACAAGAACTCCCAAAACATGATTAGAATCTGCAAATAAAAAAGCTGCAAGAACTCAACAGACCAACACCAATTGAGATCATATCACATGCTTAACAAATTAAAGCTGCAAAAGAAGTGTTGTAGCTGCGAATTAAACCCTTATTCTATATTAATCACAAGTAACCGATTAAAACCAGAGACCAGTATAGTACAAAGCCAAGGAAATCAAAGTAGAAAAGCAGTCACAAAGTGAAAGAGACCCTAGAACTTAGAGAAGCTAACAACAAGAAAATGGTTTTAAACAAGAACCATTAGCAAATGCGTAAACTCTACAACAACAACCACAACTACATTATCAATTAAAGCTGCAAAAAGACATAAGAAAATGAGGTATAAACTGCATTTGTTCTGCTACACTACTTCTCTAATCTCCAACAAAGATTAAAAAAAAATTGAATTATTAACACTCTAATCTAGTCAAGAACACTCAAATCGAATCAGTAAAACCTTTAATAGCAAAATCAGTGAGCGTAAGAACTAAGAACCATTATGTTTACTTCTCCAATTCTTAATTCTCAGCTCCAAGAACCATAATGTTAACTTATCCAATTCTCAATTCCAAGAGCAGAGAGTAAAAATTCAAGGAGATTCACATTCCATTTAACTAACATTGATGCATCAATCAAATCTAACAAACACCCAGGACCAATTCATACCCTCAGATTACGAAAATGAAATCAAAATATCAAATTTACAAAGTAAGGGTCGCAGGGAAAACATACAGATTCGTGGAAGGACCTCTGTTGCAGTAGAAATCGATGAGAAGCAGCACTCACTGACGATGTCGGAGTCACTGATTCGATGTCAACGGGAAGAAGAAAGGAGAAGACTAGGTTTAGTGTTTTCAAACTGACGGATCTAATCCCAATTCCCAACATGCAACAACATAGAACCCTAGTTTTGCAACACATCATTTCCCAATCCGATGAACCCCAATTACTAATTTACTAATAAAATTAAAGAGATATTTACCATAAAAATCGATTTGGATCCCTCGCAGCTTTGCCTTTTGCTTCTTCTTCTTGCACAGTCGTGTTTGCGAAAGAGAGAGAGAGAGAGAAACGCAAAGAAGCGAAGCAAAAGATGAGGGGAGATTGTTTTTTTCATTTCTTTTCTCCTCCATCAAATAGCGACACATAAGCACACATGTGACTGTGCTTAAGCCGTAGGGTATGGCACGTGAGTAGAGCCGTGCTTTTGGTTTGATAGATAACCATTATGCTGGAGCTGGAGCTTACATGGCCCAAACCTTAACATTATTAAGATTTGAGATGATAATAAAGCAATTTTCATATTTTCATATTTTTTTCTCCTCCGATTAAAATCCTTGATTCAGCACCATGCTTAATAAATTTTTCTTCTTTTCATTAAAATTAATCAATTTTATTTTCTTATACAAATGATACTTTATAATGTTTATAAACAATTTTAATTATAGGCCCAATAAAAAATATGATACAAATTAGTACTTTGTAAACAAATTATAAAAAACCATTACCAAAAAAAAAATTATAAATATCTATTTTGTGTTTAGAAGGTTACAAACTTATTTATTGCAAAATTATAAATATATATTGTGTTTAGAAGGTTACAAACTAATTTCCTACCAATTATAGTTTCCTTCTAATTACCTACGAAATAATTTCCCTCGATATATCTACTGATTTCCTACGACATTTCCTTCCACTTCTTAGTGGAAGGCATTCCGTAGGATTAATTCCTACCAAATTCTCTCCGCGTTATTTCCTTCCACATTCCTTTTCGTTTCCTTCACTATTTCCTACAAAACTATTATTTAAAAGAAATTGGTAGGAAATATTCCTTCCAATTTCTGACACCATTTCTCGTAGTTAAATTATCTTCTTTTTTCCTACCATTTTGTGTTTTCGTCATAAATTCGAAGTTTTTTCGTAGGAAAATTTTCCTACCATTTATTTTGTAGGAATTTTCGTAGGATATCGACATGTTTTCTTGTAGTGATATAGCCTTTTAAACCATTTGACCAAAGATAAAAGTTCGAATGTGCTTCAATATTTTGGCTTCTCCTTTATCTTACCACTTAACCTTTCACTTGATTCGTCATTAGTAATGTGGCCACACTATTTGGGGAATATAGTTGCCAACATGTGGTCTTACTTGTTATCTCAAATACTTCTCGGATTGGTCTATATATCTTGGTGGACAGCCTCATAAAAATACACATACATCATGAACAATTATTAATGAGAAATGGAAAGTGTTACACGAAAAATGATACACACGGTTTATTATTACAACAATTGGCATTATCATTCATAACACGACCAATCTCTCACACATGATCAAAGCTTTTGACTCACTTAAAACTTACTTACCTTGAAGTCGAAGTGTAAATGCTTGTAACGAGACAAGAACTCGTTTCAACCTCTCCTTAGCCACTTCATCGACTAAGTTTCCTTCCTCGTCGAATTTCTGAGGCGGCTGAAACGCATTGAGAGTAAACTCGGGTTTGTTGATGAAATGAAGATCAAGAAACACCCCGATTTGTCGAAGATGATATTGCGACCTTCCTCCACCGCAATCGCCACCAGTGCTTATAACCGCAGCGGGTTTGGTTGCCCAAACATTAGGTGCTCTTGATGCCCAATCAAGAGCGTTCTTGAGTGGAGCTGGCGTATAGTAGTAACAAGGTAAGGTAAACAAAACAAGTAACGATTTGAGTCAATATATCAAGAGAGTTTGACTTATATTTTCAACAAGAACTAGTTTTATAACATTCCACAACACTAAGCCAAAGTCAACAAGGTTCACAGAAACAAGAACTTGCATCAAACAGAACCTAACATAAGAAATGGATACGAGACTACGGTTAGGTTTTATTAGGCCACCGATTAAGACAAAGAACCTATCATCTATAAGCAAATCAAGAAACGTCTTTAAGACCAAACCACTAAAGAACTATGCATAAGAAGAATCTTGTTTTGAAATACCTGAGACAGAGTAATTATACTCAGGACAAGAAAACAAGATACAGTCAGCTTCAAGAATCTTCTGCCGGAAAGCTTCAACAACCGGAGGATAAGTACCGTCGATTTCAAGATCGGTGTTAAGCAACGGTAACAAAGATATGTCTACATACTCAACTTCCATTCCCCGAACCGATTCTTTCGACAAATCGATCGCTGCAAGAAAAAACAAAAAACAGTACAAATTTAAGCAAAACCAAATCGTCCTAAGTTGATGCAAAAATCAACCAAAATATATATATACATACCGGCGCGGAGGAGACCAGTAGAGAAAGAGTGTTTCCGGATAGAACCGGAGAGAGCAGCAACTCTGATCAATGGCTTTATCTCCTCCATTACTTCTTCCATTTGTTTTAGATTAGCGTTTGAGAAAGTGTTGACCGATGAATAATGATGGGAGATTAATTAGGTGAAGAAATGTATATAACACAAAAGATGAGATTCCACTAATCTTGTCTTTGGACCTCTAAAACTTATTATATTCTCAAAAAGTGTAAGTAATAATATCATAATCTCTCAATTTGATACAAGTTGTTGTTATCAAAGCCATCGCTGAAGTACTTGTCCAGCTATTTGCATGTGAGTGTGAATAATAGGTTTACATGTTTCTTGTGAGCTTTATCGTATTTTAAGCTCAACTTATGATAAAACTAAGATTAATGTATGACAAGAAAAACAATTAAAAATCTAACTTAAGAACTCCGAGAATTATTTGAAGGTCTTAAGACTTAAAAGCACACCAACGACACATACGTTTGCATTTATTTAAGAAGATTTCTTTTTAAATTCAATATAAATTTGCATGTGAAAAAAAAAAAGTTCATTTTATACTAGTGAAACTTAATTACTAATAAAAATTTCTGATTAAGATATTTCATGTTTTGTTTTATGAAAGTTAACGTGTGATTTATAATAAAAAGGTGAATCTCACAAATAATATAAACATAAGCTTCCAACTAGTGGAAACCCCTTGTCCCCTTGCTTTACCCAGCTATAAGTATTAGAATGTGGGTTTCCATCATTATTAAGGTTACAATATTCCGCATTGGAAGTCTTGACTAGTATATAATCTTTTTTACTCACTGTTAATTGGTTTTGACCATTGCCTTATTCATTACATGTAATTAAAGTTTCTGAAAAGCAATATTTTAGAATCATGTAGGGGTTACCTAAGCGGTGGTTTTTTTTTTTTTTTTTTTTTTTGATAACTCAAAAGTGATCCCAAAGGCTTTCTAAGCCCAAAGACTAATCTCTTGGGGCCGGAAAAAACTATGTTAAATCTCAAATCTCCGTGGCCAATGCTACTCGAACCCAGGTGGGGAAACTTACCTCCTTTACTACTGGACCAAGGTTTACCTAAGTGGTTTGCAGCAACATAATATTCTCTTTTGGGATTGTGAGGCGTGTTACCACCGACTTGGTTGCTTGCTACCGTTTTCCAATAATTTCTTTCCGTTTGTGAAGAAGATGGGATCATGTTCTTCATTGTCATGCTTTTTTTTTTTTTTTGGACTTTTTGGCAACGATTATGTAATTCTGAAAAAATAGTTTTTTTTAGAATAAATGCTCCGGCAGGGACCAAGTGCCATCTCTAAGCTTAGTCCTAGAGTCTTTACCTGTTGAGTAATTAACATTTGGTGCTTAAATTTTTTCTTAAGAAGCGCTAAATATAATATATTCGAACACTTAAGAGTTTTTAATTACAATATAGGTTACAATCGTACAAAAACCGGAATTAAGAAAAAAAAAGTAAAAATTTATGACTCTCAAATTATAAGATTGTATGATTATTTTTATATTTCCAAGAATGAGTTTTTCAATCTCTTTTACATTATTGCAGTAAATGATATGTTTTGATTTAGTCTACAATGCTTGTAATTTTTGGTAAATCGGTTGGCAGAGAATTCTCGCACTCATGTTTTGTTCCGAGGTGATTCTCCTGTTCTTCGAGCGACATGGACGACATCTGAGTCCTAATGACTTGAATAGGATAACCTTCCAGTATCTTTGGATCCCCGGTTCGGTCTTCAAAACATAAACATTTCACAATAATTTCTTGTGGCAACGGACAAGACATTGAAGAAGAAGATGATTTTACATCAATCCTCTTCTTATACTTTGGTGGGGGATTTGCAGCGTTGACACTAACAACGAAAGACATATTGACCTCGATTACAAGATATGAAAGGAATAATGATAGACGAGTTTTATATAATAGTTTAAAGTAAACTTTAATATGATTTATAGAAGGTTTAGCATTCATTATATTGTGTCAGTCAAAGACTCTTGGTCCAAGATACCTTTATCATTAATTTCATTTAACAATAATTAATATAATTACCTTGTTTTAATAGTTTTTAGCGTTGAACAAATTATGTATTACTATTTGTTATTCCTTCTGTTTCTTTTTATTTTATGTTTTAGCCAAAATAATTTGTTTCATTTTAAGTGATGTTTTCAATTTTACATGCAAAAATTATTAATACGTTTTGACCAATCCTATATTACATCTTATTTTCTTATTAGTTGAATTCATTTTAATTAATGATGTTTTTATAGAAATTAGAGAAATTATATGTTTTTTTTAATTTGTGTGTAAGAACCTTAAACATCAAATAAAAGGAAACTAAAGGAGTATTAAACAATAACAAGGCGAAGTGTGGGGCTGGGTGTGAGGGAGATCGTTTTACGGGGGCTAAGTTGGGTCCTTGGTCATTTCATATATATTAAATTCTACAAAAATAAATAGTTGTTGAACAAACCGATTCTAGATTTTAGGATTGGTCTACTACTAGAAGAGCAGAAGGAGGAGAGTGTTAGGGGAACTGTGGGCGGATGGTGCGGGTTGGGAAATGAGGCGTATAGCTTCTTACATGTAAGCGCAGTTGTGTTGGATAATGTAACAAGAGCAAAAGATTGCTTATCATGCGGGTTTACGGTTTCATCCGCATATCAAGTGTTGACTAAAGATAATGATCTGAGGCGAATAAGGAAAAGTTATGGGGTCGTGTATGGGGGATTAGTGGCTCTGGAAAGAGTCGGAATTTTTTTTATGGTTAGTGGGGGCACTAAGAGATTATGTCAAACTCATAGAGATATCAAAGATACCTATGCGACTCATCTATCTGTCAAGTTTGCAAAGGTGGAGAGGAGACGATTATTCATATTTTGCGAGATTGTACGGCTAGGTCTGGATTGTGGAAGAGATTAGTACCGACCGGGAAGCGATTCATGTTCTTCATGACGACTTTGCTCGAATGGTTTTACGAGAAACTGAGTGGAGCGATAGGGATATCCGATTCTTCATGGTCGACGTTATTTGCCATGAAAATATATTGGGATGGAAATGGTGTTGAGGAAATGTTTTGGGATGAACTAAAAATGTAGTGATAGAGTCAATTTTGTTAAATAGCGAAGAAGGTCTTGGGAGCAAATTTAGTACTCGGAGGTCCGTGAGTTGAAGCGAGGAGAGTGGAGCGAATGATAGCGTAGGTCTCTCTGCGGGAAGGTTGGATGAAAATGAACATAAATGGGACATCTCATGACATCCCGACATGGCAACAATTGGAGGAGTGTTATGTGATGAGTTAGGGAACCTGAAAGGAGGTTTTGCTTTAAACATAGGGATATATGCTCGGCTCCTTTGGCTGTCGGGAGAATAGTATGGCATGTATATTTCTTGGCAGAAGCGAGTAACCTGATTGGACTTAGAGGTTGATCCGGGAGTGGTGGTTGGTTTTCTAAAGACAGGGTTAGTGATACTCACATGTTGTCTTTTCTAATACGTTTGGGATTAAAACGTCTGTATTTCACATATGTATACAGTAACTAATCGCCTAAACGATGGTTCAGCTAACTATGTTTTCTCTTTGGAATCAGGTTTTATTTTCCTGATGTTTTTCCACCTTGAGCTGCTTTGATTTTTTCGAAGGATGCTTGTAGAACAACGTTTCCACGACGAGTTTTTTGTTTAAATTTTTCATTTATCAATAAAATATGGGAGGCATTTATCTCCGTGTCTTCTACCCCAAAAAAATGCTTGGCTTGATTATATGCCTACAAATAAAAACATGATACGACGTGTTATTCTTATCTTGGTACGCGGACGCACTCCAATAATCTAGAAACATATTTATTACTAGTACAAGCTAGTCCTTTGCTACATTAGTTGCTCTCTTACGAGTGTCCTCACAAAATAAGATTTTCCATGATGAGAAGAATCAAAACAACTAGTACAAGCTAGTCCTTTGCTACATTTTTAGTGCATCTCATGCCATTCAAGCTCCTATTACTTGGTTAATCCATTCCAACATCAATTATAGTAGGCTAATACACAATGAAAACCATCTACACACTTCAGAAGTAGAAAACAAATAGATCCCAAATTACAATCCAAGGTTAAGGACCGATGGAGAAAGAGCGATAAACTCCTAGAACCTTTCAGATGGGTACCTGATAGGTTTTAGATCAGTAAACTCACAAGAACAAAGTATAATAGAGAAAGTCTGCAACTTTATTGATTATTGATAAGAAAAGAACAACTTTGAGAGACTTACGGTTCTCTCCCACCTCCTTACAAAGTTCACCAAAACCTTGATAGTGATTCCAAAACCCACCCTTCTCTCCTTATACTACTCTCTCCTCAGAAAGCCGTTAGGCATAAAGCATGTGGTTGAATGACAACTGGCTTAACCACAGTTTATTAACTTACTAAGGTTTACTAAAGCTTAACTCAGGTAACCAAGGCTCCAAGCTCATCCTTAATCTCCTCTACTAGCTTCTGGAACCTTCTTCTTACTGGGCTTTCTTCTGCTCTGACTGTTGGGCCCTGTTCTTTCTTCTGTATTGGTAGAGCATTGGTGGATGGCGTATCTCCCACGTATCAACACTTCCCCCTGTGAGACTCACCTTGTCCTCAAGGTGAAATTCAGGAAACTGACCTTTGATGGTGGATTGCCATTCCCAGGAGCTCTCATAGTCTGGCTGTCCCTTCCACTTGATAAGGACCTCTGCCTGGCCTGAAACAGGGTGAATGCGCGTTCCTAACACTGTTTCTGGTTCCACATTCAAATACCCATCCTCACTCAACTGCTGGGGAATGGCGGCTGTTACTGGCTGATTTCCGATGGCTTTTTTCAACTGTGAGACGTGAAAGGTAGGATGGATCTTCGTCTCTGCTGGTAACTTAAGTCGATATGCCACCTTCCCAACTTTAGCTTCAATCTTATAGGGACCATAAAAGCGAGCTGAGAGCTTCTCATTGGCTCTCCTTGCCAAGGTTCTGCGGCGGTATGGTCTCATCTTCAGATAGACTTGATCACCCACTTCGAAGTTCACATCTCTCCTATGTTCATCAGCTCTCTGTTTCATTCCCTGTTGAGCCTTATGCAAATGTTCCTTA